CATTGAGGATCTGGAGCTACACTCAGTCGACATCTCCTCCGCATTTTTGCAGGGCGACTTGGATGAAGAGATCTACATGCAGCAACCTGAAGGCTTTGCCCAAGGTCCCCCTGGCACAGTCCTGCGTCTAGGCCGTCCTCTCTATGGCCTCAAGCAGGCTGGCCGCATGTGGAACAAGAAGCTGCACCAGGTGCTCACCTCCATGGGCTTCAAGCGGCTCGAGTCTGACCGCAGTGTGTACATCTATCTGCGAGATGAAGTGCGCATTATCATCCCTGTGCATGTGGATGACCTCACTCTGGCCTCCACCTCACGCGCTGCCATTGACAAGACGGTCGAGGAGCTGTCTCAGCACTTCAAGCTGCGCAACCTTGGTCCCACCACATTCCTGCTGGGCATTGAGATCACCAGAGACCGCAAAAAGTGCACCATGTTCCTGTCGCAGCGGCAGTACATCCTGGACATGCTGGAGCGATATGGCCTCACCAGCTGCAAAGCAGTGTTGACCCCAATGGAGCCTGGCCTTCGTCTTTCCAAGCAGCAAGCCTGTCAGAGCGATGAGGACCGCGCCTTCATGCAGGACAAGCCCTACCTCAATGCAGTCGGCTCCCTCATGTATCTGGCCATCACCACTCGCCCTGACATCCAGTATGCTGTTTCCTGTCTTGCACGCTTCAACTCCTGTCCTGGACCTGCCCATTGGGCCGCAGTCAAGCACCTCTTTCGCTATCTGCAGGGCACCAAGGACCACAAGCTCGTCTACAGGCCTAACGACCTGGGTGCACCCTTTGTCACCTTCACAGACTCTGCTCATGGTGACTGTCCGGACTCTGGACGCTCCACCAGTGGCTACTTGGTCAAGGTTGGCTCAGGAGCAATCAGCTGGTCCAGCAAACTCCAGTCCATTGTCGCACTTTCGACTACAGAGGCTGAGTATGTTGCTGCAGTGGATGCTGGCAAGGAGATACTCTGGATGCGCAATCTCATGGCCGAGTTTGGCTACACAGTGGACGCTCCCTCGCCCCTGCAGATGGACAACCAGTCGAGCATCAATGTGTCCAAGAATCCTGAGCACCATGGGCACATGAAGCACCTCGACCTGCGCACTTTCTGGCTCAGAGACACTGTGGAGGCTGGGCGCATCAAGCCCTGCTACATCCCCACTGCGGACATGCTTGCAGACTGTCTCACCAAGCCGTTGCCTGCACCCAAGGTCGCATTCTGTCGCACTGGGATGGGAATTGAGCTGTCCTAGTCTCCCTGTGGGACTTGGCAGATCAGGGGGGGTATGTCACAATGTGCTCTGCCACAGTCCCCTGGTCGGCCTAGGGCGATCCCCCGGTGGCGGGAGCCACAACACCATGTGACCACATGGTTGTATCAATTGCGGAGCAATCGGACCGGACCAGAGCTCCGGCCACACTTCTTTTGTTCCATTGTTCCTGTGGCCAAGTGGCCCTTGTTCTCCTTTTGGATTCTATTGTTCTTTTCTCTATTGTTCTGCCATGGGAATGCTTTCCCCTGCTCATGTATATAAAGACCTGCTGTAGCGTCCTTTAATCTACACTTCTGTGACCCACTTCGACTTCAGCCCCTCTTGTGGCATTTAGTCCTTCAGTGCTAGTCCTGTGCAACTGCTCCCTGCGTCGCCTTTTGATAGGTTCTTGTCGCAACTCTGCATCTATTGGTTGGTCAACATGTCGCTGACCACCATCGAACTCAAGGTGCAAGTTGCGATGAGCCTGCTCGATGGCGACGCCCGCACCTGGGCCACTCCTTACTTTGCCCAACTTGCGTCGGTGCAGATGGGTGTGCAAGGGGTCACAACCCCATTCGCAAACGAAGCGGCCTTTGCCCCGCCGCCTTCAAGGCTCGCTTCGGTAATCTCGACGATGAGGCAGCAGCACAAGTAAAGTTGGCGAAGCTCTGCGCGGACAAGTCAGTCCGCGAAAAACGCACCGCCGCAGAGTTCTCCACGCTGTTCAAGGGTCCGGCGGATCGCTCTGGGTATGGGGACCTGGAGCTACGTGACAAGTACCTGAGTGGCATCCCCTCCCGCGTCTACCGGAAAATCGAGCTCGAGACCTTCACCACGTGGAGAGACACTGAGAAGCGCACCACCGAGGTCGAGCAGATCCTCGACATCAGCCAGGCCTGTTGGCCCGAGCTGAACAACTTTTTCTCAGTACGAGGTCGAGGACGTGGAGGGGCACATGGTGGTGCACCCCAGTCGCATGCAGCTTCGGCCAGCATCAATGCGGCCGTCAGAAAAGGAGACTTCTTTGGCAGTTGTTTTGGCTGCAGGAAGCAAGGATATCAACAATTCGAGTGCCCCAATTGTAAGGTCAAGCCTTACACAAAACACATTGATACACGGGCTACGGTTGCCTCGGGTTCCACCCAGGTGGCGACAAGCACCCCTGTCGCTTCATCCTCGGCGGGTACAAGCACCACTTCAGCGAAATTGAAAAGCTCCGAGCTGGCGGACTTAGTAGCACAGATGAAGTCGATGCGCGAGGAGTTGGAGCACTATCGAGCGCTCAAAGAAGAGTCTTTTTGATCTGGTCCGCGCTTTGTGCCGCACGTGTCGGACCTCGTAATAACAATTTGTACAATGTATTGGCGACCGCGAATGTTTACGAGCTGGACCATGGGTCCCAGCACTTCCACATCCTGGTGCGCCTCAAGGGGGAAAGACGGCACAAAGATATCATTGCAATGGTGGACAGCGGAGCCACTACGAAGTTCATCAACAAGCGTTTCATCATGGAGAATCGAGTACGAACACGGAAATTGAAAGAACCAATTCTGCTTTACAATATCGATGGAACGCTCAACAAAGACGGAAGCATCTCGGAGGTAGCTGTGCTACAGATGCAAATAGGAGAACACGTCGAGAAGATGGTGTTCATGGTTACGGACATAGGTCCAGAAGATGTGATCATTGGGTTGAATTGGCTACGAGAGCACAACCCTGAGATCGATTGGGAGTCAGGCTCCCTAAAATTATCACAATGCCCTGAAACGTGCAGTGCCAGGAGGGCTAACTGGATGGAGCAAGCAACGACTGCGCGTGATATGGGGGTTAGGCCCACGGCACGCAGGCGTTCGCCAAAGTCCAGACAGTCGGTTATAGGTGCTTGCCAGAGTAAGGTGCTCCCGGACTTTGAACCCAAAGAAGATTCGGCGGAAGTAGAATGGGATGAGGCCGATTTGATCGAAGCCTGGGAGCAAGGTATCATGCTTCCCGGTGCCCCTCAACTGTTTGTCGTAGCTGGCCATACGTACTCTCAGCTGTTTGCTGAGGAAGAGATCAAGAAGAAGGTCGTTAAGACCGCCGAGAAGTCTGTGCCCAAACAGTACCACGAGTTTCTGAAGGTCTTCTCAAAGGAAGCATCAGAACGGCTACCCGAAAGGAAGCCATACGATCATGCGATCGAACTCATGCCAGGCTATTCGACATTCCATTCGAAGGTGTACCCCCTATCGAACAATGAGCAGGAGGAACTAGACAAGTTCCTAAAGGAGCAGCTGGCAAAAGGCTATATACGGGAGTCGAAGTCACCCATTTCGTCCCCCTTCTTCTTCATCAAAAAGAAGGAAGGGACGCTTCGACCTGTACAGGACTACCGACGATTGAACGCGATCACAGTCAAGAATCGGTACCCCTTGCCGCTAATCGCCGAGATGGTCGATAAGCTCCGCGGTGCCACGCTCTTTACAAAGTTTGACGTCTGATGGGGATACAACAACGTCCGGATCAAAGCCAGTGACGAGTGGAAGGCGGCGTTTGTGACTAACTGAGGGTTGTATGAGCCCTTGGTGATGTTCTTCAGTCTCACCAATTCCCCCACGACCTTCCAGGCAATGATGAATGAGATCTTCCATGATCTCATCGTCGGCGGCAAGATCCTTGTGTACCTGGACGATATACTCATCTTCTCCACCAACAAGGAGGAACATGAGAAGGTCACATGTGAGGTCCTTCGTCGCCTTCAGGACAACGATCTGTTCCTGAAGCCTGAGAAATGCGAATGGGACGTTCCCAAGGTCGACTACATCGGCTATGCATTCAGTGGCGATGAGGTAGCGATGGATCCCGCGAAGTTGAAAGGAATCAATGAGTGGCCGATACCCCGGAACAAAAAAGATGTTCAGAAGTTCCAGGGGTTCTCCAACTTCTACCGCCGCTTCATTAAGGACTTCACTAAGATCTTGCGACCACTCGACCTATCAAAAGGTGACACAGGGAGCAGTTGCACAGGACTAGCACTGAGGGACTGAATGCCACAAGTGGGGCTGAAGTCGAAGTGGGTCACAGAAGTATGGATTAAAGGACGCTACAGCAGGTCTTTATATACATGAGCAGGAGAAAGCATTCCCACGGCAGAACAATAGAGAAAAGAACAAAGCAGTCCAAAAGGAGAACAAGGGCCACTTGGCCACAGGAACAATGGAACAAAAGAAGTGTGGCCGGAGCTCTGCTCCGGTCCAATTGCTCCGCAATTGATACAACCATGTGGTCACATGGTGTTGTGGCTCCCGCCACCGGGGGATCGTCCTAGGCCAACCGGGGGACTGTGGCAGAGCACATTGTGACAACATGTGTGCAACCGTACCAAGACATTCCCAGCCAAGCCCCAAGGTCTACTGAAGCCAAACGAGATCCCCGAGCGCCCATGGCAGATCATCATGACCAATATGATCGTCAGCTTGCCGAAGTCTGATGGATTCGACTCGATCCTGGTCACCGCCGACCGCTTCACAAAGCAGGTCCACTTCTCGGCCTGTCATGAGACCCTGACGGCAGAAGGTGCGGCAGACTTGTACATCTGTGATGTGTTCAAGCATCATGGGGCCCCGGCCAAGGTCATATCAGACCGAGGTCCCCAGTTCGCTTCGAAATATCTCCATGCAGTGTACAAGGGGCTGGGAATCGAGCCAGCGCTATCTACCACATTTCACCCTCAGACAGACGGCCAGACTGAGTGCTGGAATCAGGAGATTGAGCAGTACCTGCGTGCTTTCACCAGCCACAGGCAGGATGATTGGGCGAAGCAGTTGCTGCTTGCAGAATTTGCATTGAACAACCGAGTTCACTCCGCAACTGGGCACCCCCCCTTCTTCCTGCATCAGGGGTACCATCCTGAGATCCAGGTTTGGATCAATCCAATGTCCGCAATGCCCGCTGCTGCCGATCGGCTCAAGACCCTGAAGGAGATCAGGGACGACACGCGCTCTGCGCTCGAGCTGTCAGCTGAGCGCATGAAGGTGTACTACAATAAGTACGTGCAGGAGGCACTGGTCTTCGTGCCGGGGGACAAGGTCTGGCTTGATGCCTGGAACCTTAAGCTGAAACAGCCGAGCAAGAAGCTCAGTTCCAAGTGCCTCGGACCATATGCCGTGTGGCAAAAGCTTGGAGACTTGGATTACAAATTAGTCCTACCGAAGTTGGTGCCGGTACACCTGGTGTTCCATGTCTCCTTGCTTAGCAAGTACATGTGTAGTAAGATCCCAGGCCGGGAGCCGGAGGAGCCGCCCATGATCGAGGTTGAAGGTGATGAGGAGTACGAGGTTGAGCGGATCAAGGATTCACGAATCTTCCGGCGTCAGCTGCAGTACCTCGTCAAGTGGAAGGGTTATGACGACTTGCATACATCATGGGAACTGGCGCGCAACGTGGCCAATGCGCCGGCCCTCATAGCCGACTTCCACCGGAAGAATCCGAACGCCCCTCACCACCTCAATGCTGCTACATTTGGTGGTCTCAACTTTCAGCCAATGCCTTTGCTGTTGACTGAAGCACGATGCCACTCCGGATTGGAGATGGGCAAGGGTGCCTTGCATGAGGTCATGCGCTGTTGAGGGAGGGCGTAATGTCACGAGTTGACACGGCATCTAGCCATTTTTTAATTTTTCCTTTTTGCGGGCTCGAATCTGTGACCTCTGTACTACATGCCCAATATGGACATATCGTTATCTACTGTACGATTAGATTAGATGGGGCGGCAGTGCACGGCACAGCTCGGGCTCCGCTGACACAGCCACTCTGACTTACTGGCCCCTGGGGCCACGTCAGCATACTGCATACAGACCAATGCGCACAGCCTGCCCTTATCTCCCCCTATATATAAGCCGGCCTCTGCTACCCTAGGGACCTCAGTTTTGACCTCTTGTCCCTAGGTCAGTAAGCCTCTCCTGTATTCTTTCTTACCTTGACTAATATATTCACTCATTCCTAGCCTTAGGTTTGAGCGCTGCTCACCATCGCTTCGGTGAGACCCAATCAAACGCCCCCAGCTTTTTAGGTTTTCCCTGTCGCTTGACCTCAAGTCACAACAAGAATGAGAGCAGGAACTCAGAGACAGAGAACTTTGATGATGCGAGGAACTCAAGGATTGAGCAGATCTCTGTGAATGTGAGCACAACTGACTAAACCGTGCTGTTGTCGCAGTATCAACATGTTTTGCTCACCAAATTGTGTGTGTGCTATGTAATAGATTCTAATACTTGATGAAGTGCCCGCTACCTCAAATGAGGAGACTCCCCTCCAACACCAGTTGTTTACCTATGTTTTCTGCCAGCCATTGTAGGGAGGTGGAGGGGAATAAGATTGTGGAGTTTGAAAGTTGGTGGGTATCAATTTCTGATTGGATATCACCAAATTGTCACTGAAGTGTGGTGCAGGGAATGGCTGATATATAACATGTCCTTTAGTATTCGGATGGGCCCCCCACCTCCTGGAGACGGCGGGAAGGAACCTGAGTTATTCAAGCAAAAACTGATCCGCTGCAAGAGATACATTCAAAAAGGGGCCCAACCGGGATTCGAACCCGGGATCCCTTGCAATCGGATTAACCCAAAGCAAGTATCTTACCTCTAGACCATTGGGCCAATGATATTAGTTATTGTTTAAAACCCAATAGTGGCACCCACAGAGCTACCATGACGTCAATGTCGAGAGCATTGGACCTGTGAAGTGAGCTGCTCCAACCCTTGATATTCAATGGTCGACTGGAATGTATTTAATATCTGGTTGCTACCTACACTGAATCGTTTCCAGAGTCTACTCATCTTGCCTTGCTTGTTATGTCTTCTGTTGCCTCAAATGATAAATCCATCTCGTACCCACCTGCTGCTCATCGCGGCATTGGATCAGACGTTATTACCATGCAGCCCGCGCCCTCATCATCCATGTCGTTGTCTCGGTCACCACCTCCCAACGTTGAGACAGTGAACGCCAGACGACTGAGAGGAGGCTGCATCCCGTGCCCGGTTAGTAACAGTGTTTTCACGTCTTCCTTCGTTCGTGCTGAGCTCTATGTAGGACGGGACCATATGCTACATCATTCCTCTGCCATGTTGCTGCTGCTGAAGTAACGCGACTCCGACGACATTACTTCCCTCAGGTTTACGGAGAAGAGAAATAACCGCCTCGTCTATTTCTGTAGCGCTGTATAAATACTGTACTTGTCGTTACGGGTGTGTGCATTCGTAGCGTTTGTCCTTGTCTAGTTGGCCCCTTTGGAACGTGGCACGAATTTGTCAAAGACGTTGCGCAGCATCGAACGCACATAAGCATGACTGTGAAACACAAAGTTCACCCAGTGGCACGCACAATTTGAACGCCGTCGGGATGGACAAGTTCACTACGCTGGAACCCGTCCGGCTGTATGCGCCTACAACTCCTACTGCATCTGCCCCCCGGACTCTGAAGAATGCACAACGCCTGCCGGGCACGCCCATCAGGGGACCTCCTCCCTTCCAGCTCATAGGACGCCTGCCAGCTGATCTCCACATCTTGACTCTTACCTATCTGGCTGTACCCGATTTCCCTGCCTACGCACTCTCGTCAAGAGCACTAGCGAACCTCGCAAAGGATGAACGCGTCTGGGAGGCACGCTGGCGGATGTTTGGCGTGGAGAGAAGCGGCCTAGGCGACGTCCTCGACGCGCTCGAGGAGAAGGCGAAAGCGCAGAATGCTCTCGCCAAGGACCAAGGGCCCCCGACCCTAGCGGTGGACATCGTTGACGATGAGTTTGGCGAGTTCGCGGCCGTAAATGCGCAAGTTGGCGAGATGGGCGACTTCATCGGTGCCTTCAGTAATACAGTCATCCAGAGCCCCGCGATCCCCAACTTCGGCGCTGAGCCTCCTAAACCGACGTTCCGTGCGCGGTATGTACGTGCACATAACCTCTTGAAAGTTCTCTTGCCCGCTCTATCTGCGCCCCCTCATGCCGTTCTTTCTGCTCTGTTTGCATCCCCTGTTCCGTCGCTGCGTCAACAAGCACATATACTTCGCCTGCTCTCATACTTTCTGTCTGGGTCTGTGAAGCCAATACGGCCGTGGGAGGCGCAAAGCGCAGCTCTGAGGGCAGCCATCGACCGTTTCGAAGATGCCCTTCTCACCGCCTTCGACACTGCCGACGGCAACAACAACGAGGACGCGATGAGGGAGGCGGCAGAGGCGAGCTGGGAGGTGCGAGACCAGTCAGACGGGTCATGGGAGCTGGGAGCAATGTGGGCGGAGAAGCGGGAGATCTTCTACGAGCAGAGCAGGTGGAGGGCACTCGACAACTTCACGTACGTATTCTTCTTGTCCTCCGTCTAATACTATTGACATACTATCATAGGAAGGACGGGCAGCTCGACTTCGACGCCATGGATACGTTCATGGGCACAGTCCTCTCCGCACTCAAGGAGCACGGCTCCAGAGCAGTGCGAGTGTTTCCCCCGGAGACGAATGTCCTCATCTCGTTCGCCGATCGTCTCGCTTCAGATGTGGTATGTCCACTTGAGCGGATAAACTATCCCCGTGTTACTCATCAAAGCTCTCCCAGGTAGGCGAATATGTCTCGCCACTCCTGACGCGTGCACGCGAGGTTTCCAACGAGATCTTTCTCAAGGCGGCTGCGGCAAGCTTCAAAGAGGCTTGGCGCATGGTCGATGTCATCACCCAAATCGCGGCTGAAAGGAGTGATTCGAATGTATCAAAAGCACGAGCAGAAGACGTCGTGTCAGTGGTCACCTTAGAACGTAACATGATAGTCTGACAAGCGATGTCACTACAGCTATCGTATGTTCGAGCCCAACATGGACGAATATTTGGACGAGGAAGTGGATTTTGTCAAACACTGCTTCGAGGTGACATGTGGTGGCTGGGAAAACCAGGTATCGTTCGTCCAACTGTATGCTACCAACGCACGTCCACTAATACTAGTGCAGCTCTCCCATCGTGCGACGGTGCCGAAGGCATCGCCAGACCATGTACGGTTTTTAGGCTCTCAAAACCCTGCGCAGGTCAAACGGAATGTGCTGGCATCGTTCACAGACGTCCTCCTATTGCCAGTAACGATTGTCCCTCGGACTGTTGGCAACGTTGGCAAGGCCGTCGGCGCTGCGTTCAACACCGGGAGCAATGCGGCAGTCCAGGGTATCTCCATGTTAAACCCGCAGCGTTGGGGCGGTGGTGGCTTGGGAGGGACCTCGCAGCGCAGCTCGAAAGCGTTTGGTCGTCTGAGCACATGGGGCAATAATGAGAACGAAAAAAATTGGTATAGCAAAGAATTCGATAAGAGCGGCAACGACACTCTATTCGAGATCGGGGACGTTGAAGAGGATGAGAAACAGGACGGGCAAGATGATCACGGCGAGGACAACAAAACGAAGTCACACTGTGAGTACTATACTGAGGGGTGCTGGGTTTCTATTGATTATGTTTTCAGCTTCGGTAGCTTCAGTATCATCAGTGGTTACCACGGACATCAACAGTACGCGCCCGACTTCCGTGTCCTCGAGAACGTCCACACCAAGCCAGGGGAACAACACCTCACAATTCGACACTCTCGAGCTGCTCTTGTCGCTGGACATCGCCCTCGAGCTTATACATGCTGACCGAGAGTCCCTCAAACGCGCTGAGACGTTCTCAGGTTACCCAGGCCAATATGGACATCGTGTGCGCGATACGATTGAAGAGATATTTGTATTGCTTCTACAGGCGTTGAGCGAGCGACATATGCGCCCTGGGTTTGACGCGTCAGTCAACATTCTTTTGTGACATTCTCTTGTGACGATTCTCATCGCCACTACACCCGCATAGCGCTACACAGCAGATGAAGGCGTACCAGCCAGCCGAGCATGAGGAAACTCGAAGCGTTGCTCCCTTGTTGCAATTTTTCGAGCTCGTCCACGTCGGCGACATGATGCAGTCTATGATCCAAGTCTATTTCGACAAAGAGCTGGTATGTGCTGACGAAGGAATCAACACCTTGAAGTCTACTGATATCGCTTTAAGGTTCCCCATATCGATCGTACCGATTTCTTAAATACAGGAGTACGCGAGAAGAAGCGCTTCGAAGACACACTCGACGATTGTGTTGCGGCAGGGCTAAATGCCGGCACTGATGCTTTGATGAACCAGGTAGGTGTCTCCGGGATGTCCCTCACCGGCGATGCTCATATGAATGGGTCTCGAAGGTGGAATATATCATTAACAAGTTTACGAAACCTCGTGAATATTACCCGTCCGAAGACGCCCCGCTTGAGCTTGGTCCTACTCAAGGCTGTACTGAAGCGATCAAGTGCCTCAAGATGCACTGTCAGCTCTTGAAGGGTAGCACAAGTAAGGAAGTTCTAGAGGTATTCTATCAAGAAATTGGTTTACGCCTCATCAGGTGAAGTCCAAGTCGCCTTCACGCTTGCTTCTGAGACTGATCGGCGGGTGTAGTATCATTCAGAAACACCTGAAGCGCCAGATCATCTCTCTCAATGGAGGCTTCCAAGTGATAGCCGACCTGAATGAATACCATGGCTTCGTCTCATCCCTCAAGGTCAGATCGGTGGTACTCTTGCGGTGATCCTTTACTAACCTTGTAGTGCGGTATAAATAGGTCAGCAGTGTCACATCCGAATTTTCCTACCTTAAGATGCTGGGGCATGTCTACGTTGTGGAAGACGCGAAAGACTTGGCGCAAATTGTGAGAGATGTCACGCGCTATGGCGGGGCATACAAGCCGGAGGTGAGGTGTTCCATGTCAAGGCGATCGCCGCCTCTAATTCTATATTGCAGGATATCTACGAGTATATCCAGAGGCGAGCGGATTGGAAGAAGATTGAGAAGACGGTTGATAAGACCATGTACAATCTCAGCTTCAAAGAGGACTGCGCGATTTGTTGAGACAAGGCATGATAATGTCGTCGCTGTTTCAGCGCCCTGTACGAGCGACCTCTAGATATGACCCAACTGCGATCAGTGTGGCTGATGTCATGAAGTAACTGCGGGGGGCCACTCAGGCAAGGATAAGGCACGGATGGAGACAGTGACAGTACATGGGGCATATTGGGCTAGATCCGAGTGATGGCGCACGACTATCCATCGATAACCTCATGGCAGTGAATGAGCCACTCGGCGCTATAACTCCTATATAGCAGACCTTGGAAGTCGTCAAGTCTTGTATCTTTGTCCTGCCATCATCACAAGCACCCGTGAACAATCCAATTTCCATGGCTCCGGCAGAGTTCTCTTTGCGTCTGCAGCAAGGTCATACGAATGTCTATATCGTGCTGGAGCTTCTAACGACCGCATCGCGCAGGTATTACCGGTGGCTTCGCGCCTCCCACTCCAAGCGCTATCTATACAGTCACAGGGACGCCATCCCAGCCTTCGTTCAGCGTAACCGCTGCCGTGCGGCCTGACGGGACACCATCCCTTCAAGATGCGCTGCCAAAGTCCCTCGCAGTTAACGAGGAGACGACCGCGCTCATTGGCGAGCTGCACAACATCCTGAAGGGCTTACCGACGGAGTCACCGCCCGGAAGCCAGGACATCTATGGCATGGACACTAGCATTGCGTTTGGGAGTGATGATCTTATGTGGATGAATGGGGGCCCACAAGGCTGTGGAGGTGGCATCAGCGAGACGCAAGCGACGGCGGAGGACAAAGCTAACTTTAGGAGGGCAGTGGATATCGTGAATCGATTGGTGGAGACAGCGTCTTGATCAATGCTCATAGAGGAGTGCAGTACATAAATCTTCTTGAACTAAACAGACCTAGCGAATGCGCATCCATTGCGTGCATCTAAAGATTCCCCAAGTACCAAGAAGATTACTTGCACCAAGACGTTCTTGACTTCTGTATCAATCCCCACCCGTTCTGTCGTCCTTCTGGGTTTCGATGTTCCCTCCAACCACATTCCCTCCTTCTCGCACCAGGCTTTCTCTAGCTTCCTTGAGTGTCTGGTCGCGATCGGTAAGGATGGCACGATGCGCAGACACAGAGGAATGCAGGGAAGCGTAGAGCGTAAGTTTGGTTCTGCGAAAAGCGGCATGAGCGGTCTTGTTGACATCATAAGCGCTGTACCTACGTCATGTGTTCCTTTACCTGAGAATGAGCGGAAAATCAATATTCGCATGTCATATTTGCTTGGGAAACAACGTACAAAGTCGAGCATCTTCGCAAAGCCCGTCATCAGCTCTATTTCAATGGGACGCGTCAGAATTGCCCGAGCAACACGAGCTCAAGACACTGATGCATATGTTTTGATGGACGCACCATCGGCACCGGCCCTCCATTCGTCTATCGAGCACTCGGACCATTTCTTCTTTGCTTCGTCATATGCGTTGAGGTGCGCATCCATGTATAAATTGAGGTCCTGCCCCAGGAGCTTGCGGAATGCATGAGCAGGTTGTGTGAGCCCGTCGACCCCCGCCTGTGCTTGACTTGGAAAGGTGTCTTCGTAGTGTGACTCAGTCCGTCGGTAGTCATGATCGTCATCGTGTGCGCCTTGGCTTGTCGGGAGATAGTGCGAGGCTGGTGTCGAGTGTCGCGAGTAGGACGGCGGTGGCTCCTGCTATAGCATGAGGCGGAAGCATCGACATATATACGCGCATACAGCCGATAATTGTACTGACCGGAAGCCTGTCACCTTTGTACCTCTTCGCGTTACCACCATAATCGATGTCTTCGTCTTCTTCTACACAATGTACACGCTTCGCTGACCTTTTCAAACCTTGCTCGCCGTGGCCATCTCCTCGTTCCACGAAGGCTGTATTACCAGTAGGTCCATCACCCTCAAGCTCGTCGAAGTCACTGGGCACACTCTTGCGCCTGCCAGAACTAGTGCGCGGCCGTTCCATCTCGTCCTCTTCGGTAATCTTCTCTAAAGAAGGATGCGAAGCAGTCCGTACCCTGTGCTGCATTGCAGAAGGATGGAACGCCGCAGGGTAGACGAGCATTTCGGCATCGTCGTCTTGCGTAAGACCGCGACCGTGGGGCATATCGGATGGTGGAGGCACCGCAGAGATGGGTATATGCGCCTTATTCGAGCTCAGGTCGTCTGCAGAGGTCAGGGTCTGCAACTTAGAGGGGACCGGGAGAGAAGGAGCTTTGAATCCATTCATAGAAACAAGCCCAGAAGAGTTGGGAAAGAAAGGGGAAGACGGGCGTGGTGCAGCCATGCGTAGGGCCTGTTGGTTCGGTTTAGGGGAGCGAGAGCGAGCACCAGCATCTTCAAAGGATTTGCGGGATCGCCCAGGAGGATGATTGCCTTGCTGCGAAGTATTGTTTTTCACAAATGACGAGATATTAAGGGGTTTATTGATCTTGGATTTCAACCCAGAGTTTTCAGCATCCGATGCAATGACTTGGTGAACCAGCGACTGGGAATCATGTTTTTCACCAGAAGGAGCGGAAACAGGTAGCAATCCAGTAGGACGAAATGTGTCATTAGCCTGTTGCGAAATAGACTCGGTATTTATTCCAGGTTGGTTTGCATGAGCCCGAGAAGCAGGACGCTGGGGGATGAAAGGTGTTCTTGCGCTCATAATTGAATCAAAAAGACAGCAGGTACGCAGAGGATCTCTTTTCGAAAAGAGCTCAGAATATACACCGAAGCCCAAAGAGAAAGCGCGAAAAGTTTGCAGCCCAGCTTTCGACGCCCTGAAGTAAGGAAAACCGGTGATGATCGGATATCAAGTACAGTATAACAGTAATCCCGAGATAACGTCTTGGTTGCCGCTGATGCAGGTCGAGCACAAGATTGCCGCACTAGTCAGAAGACGCAGGCAAGCTGCTGGTCTGAGTCAAGCCAAAGGCGTGGTCCAGCCTTGCATAACGCGTCGCGGTCACGTGCAAGGGTGATCACGTCGTTCGTCATCGCACATTGAATGTCAGATTAATTTCCCACAGCACTTTGCGCATACTCATTCAATTTACCAGCCTGACATCGACTTGGGATTTACACACGCCTCCTTGTAGAAGATGGAAGGTCTCAGACACAGACGACGCTCAGATTACGTATATTTCCTCTCCTACCGTACTCGCTGGTCAGGATGTTCTTTCACCCATTCGATTCACCTCTGATGGCACACTTCAGGAGCGATAATGATCAATATGCACATATCAACAATTCTGTGTACTATCATCTGTTCGACTCCATCATCAACACGTATCTGATTTCTCACTGCCATCTCTCTCCGACGGAGGCATCAAGCATCGGTCTGGTTGTGTCCTCATTTTGCCATTTCTTTGCGCCTTTGTCCTTTCCTACTGTGGTGGAGCTCGGCTTAAGGGTAAACAAACTTGGAACGAGCTCGGTGACATACGAAGTAGGCGTCTTCGAGGAGAATGAAGAAATCCCCAGCGCAGTCGGCGGATATACGCACGTATTTGTAGAGAGTCGCAGCAGAAAGAGCATACCTATGAGCCAAACACTACGAGAGGGCCTGGCAAAGATATTGTCCGGCAAGGCGGACGCGAGATTGTGAAGAGTGAGTCAGTACGCTCCGAGCTATGTGGTGTCTGACGTGCACATCTGATCCCCAGTTAGCTTCGTTACCGACCACACGTCGTCGCAAAGTGTTCGCTTCCGCCAGAGGTAGTGTCCCCGTGCGCTTTTTAGCTGACCTCTATCTGACTACGTCCATACCAAGCTATTTGATCTATCGCGATAGTTTGGGCTGTGGATCAGGCTTAGATATATCTGACGTGCTTTTTTTGTTATTACTAGACTTGCGCAATTCGAAGATATGGCAGTCCTCTGTCGGTCTAACAAATGGATGAGTCTTAGACCACCATGGATATAAGCAGACCTGTCTAAATGACAATTCGGACCGTCCGTGTCATCAAACACCAGCCATCTCCCTTCATTCGTCTGATAGGCTTCATACAGATTTCCTGCGAATCTACGGTGAAATTGTATGCAGGATCGAGATAATGTGAATTGTAGGGCCACGCTTCGAACATCCGATCATCTAATAGTTCTGGTGCTGATCCTTCGTATGCTTTGTCCTTAGGAGCTCAAAGTATCTCACAGTTCTATTTTGTCTGTAAAGAGCGTATTTCCTCCTGATGGGTCATGGAACAATGTGCAGTACACTGCAGGACAACTCGTGATACAGCTTAATGCTCAGAGTCGACTATGCATCATCTCTCTTACAACCGCGTCCATACGTTGGGTAAATCGGTATCTAGATTTCGTCACTGATGGCCACTCCGGCATGTTTCCAAGTCCGCTCGGCACAAGATTAATGTCGACGAAGATCCGTCGCCATCACTACCATATTGAGAGAGCAGCCACCGCGTATGGCGGGGTCTGAATCACATCACGCTTTGAACACACCAGATGTTGCTTCCGCGCGCGCCCCCAAGACTAGTTGTTCTTTCCTGTCCTCGTACCATCATCATCACTTACGTTCTCTAATATTTCGTCTCCCTCGTGCGAGTACGCTAATAACATCCTCGCGTTCTGCTCGGGTCTGATCTCTGTCAGAAATCCATATCGAGTGTGACCTGTCGCACCGCGACAGGTTTCCACACTATGGCAAGCCAGGATTCGATACTGTCATGGGACACGTGCGCGAGCCCACATCTCGATGTCCTGTCCTTCGAGTAACAGTAACTCTGCTTTTATAGGCGTTATGTACCGGTGGCAATATACAGTGAAAACCATATCTCGTAATTTGATGCCTATAATGACAATACGCTAAGACTTAGAGGTAGCGACTATTTTCTATGACTACGTCCTGAACCTACGCAGAGAAATAGACTTGACATGGAGAAGAGGCTCGACAACCGGTACCATTCTGTTCCTTGCCAACCGATATCTTGCACTGGCATATTGTCTCTTTCGTCTTACCGTTGAGTACATTCGAGACGATTTTTTGGTATGTAAAACTGACTAAAATGCTCCGAGACGGAAACGTCGGTGTCTAATTGAACGTAGATGTAGGTGCATTACGATGATATACCAGTCATAACACGATGTTGATTCTTATATCTCTCCAGTTGTAGAGTGATAGAGGCTGTTGGGGCCATGTTTAGTCTCTTATTTTTCATAGTCTGGGCAGGTCAGTGGATCACCTACTATTTCACACCTTTGGGAATAAGGACACTGTCACAGTTTTCTCGGCTCTCCGTGTGTATGCAGTGAGCAGCAAGAATTGGACTTTGACGTCCTTGGCCCTTGGTTGGGGGCTTGTGCCATTAGTTACCAATATTGTAAGCATCGTTAACCAGATACTCCTACAATTCATGTGCCAATGGTCCTCCGCAGGTTAACTACATCAAGACTTCACTATCGATGATGTCTTTTGCTGGAGACGAGATATGTTGGACTCAAAGCGAGCTCAGTGTTCCCCAGGATCTCTAGTACGTGGACACCCCGCTGTAGTAGTCCTTATAGCTCACCTGAAAACATCCTGGTCAGCTGTAGTGCTTTCATCTAGATTTCTCACGTTGTATATAACTGAAATTCTCTAGTCGTTCTAGTGACCCGACTGTGCACAATCGCCTCCGACATACTTGTCGTTGTCGCAATTTGGTATTACACACGGCGTGGTCAAGCACTCGAACAAAACGACGAAGATCACACCCCACTGCTCAGCACTTTGTGGCGAAATGGTAATTACACTTTCATTTATTCAATCAGGATCTAACTCTATTCTGGTAGGGATGTTATATTGCGTGTGAGCTTGCTGCCAGCTCACTTCACTGGATAGATGCTAGACAGAAAAACCATAGCTGCCTGCTAGTGATGAATATTGTGAATATCTTGACGTGGCCTTTCGGGGTTCGTAGTGCCCTTGGTGTGCTTTCAGGTCGTTGATCTCCCATCCGCAGATCAACAGTATAGCAACAGATGTTATTGCACCGTACGCTGATCTTATATTGTCGCTCATATGCATTTTGGCAGCAAGCTGACTACTAGGGTCAGGATGACGTCCCTCATGGTATCACACTGCCTCCTCGATCTCCGTGAAGCAGCACTTTGTTCAGCGGAGTCTTGTGCACTCAGCAGCCTATCGTTCGCCCTGCCTCGTACTCTACAATCAGCGCAAGCACTGCCACTGGTCCAGGAATCATGGATCTCGGCAATGTCTTCGTCCAATGTCACGAGTGAGACCACCGCGCTCGAAAGAGTGAGTTATGATATCACAGCTCCGTGAGTCATTCTTAGATCTTCTCACCAATATGTGCTCATTGTTTGGATATTTCCTAATTCAGACCAGACGACGCAGTAATGTAGACTGGTTCACAGTGTCCGCTGGTCCAAGGTCATTATCGGGGCTTTTGATAGAGACCTCAGTCACCGAAGCGACTCAAGGGGTGCTTGTGACGCATATACCATGCATATTTGTTGGGCTTCATTTTCAGAGTGTTTGAATGATAGTGTACATCGAAACCTGCCACCACGGCCGAGCAACCAGTAAGCAACATAAAATCGTAAATCAAGTGCGTCGCTGACGCGATCGAAGTTGAGAATATGTGAGAGTGTGAAGTAATAAGGACCACCTTCCGGTTCAACTTGGACTTTGCGAACAATACTTACTCTGAGGCTACGGCTGCGTCATCTTACACCGCCCCTCGTTCAAGAGCGGTCCATCGCCTGCTACCTTAGTATGCCCTCTAAAGGCGACAATCTGCGTATCAATACACAAATTCGATACTTGACATCTTTTACGGCCCTATCATGAGTTCAATGTCTTGCTGACAAACAGATGTCAACGAAAGCCTGGCAGAACTTCAAGTGCTAAAGTACGTGCATCGACTCGTTGTACTGTGCTCCTCTGAGATTCAAACAACGCTACATTCTTTCACCAATGACTTTATTTGCAACACATCAGTCTACGATTGAATTTTGGGTATACCAGTGACGTCCTAGTGCCCGAGAAAATGTCAGGATACCGTACAGTAGTATGTTGTACACAGGCACCCACGAGGGGGAAGCTACACCAAACATATCACTGCTGCAAGTCCTTGCAGCAAATTACAAAACCGTCAGCGAACAGCGTCAAGAATTCCCGAGCGAGGGGCGAGCAGCAGCACTGCTGAATACAAGAAACACAAGAAAGTCCCAGAAAAAGAAACACACAAGTACATTGTCCAAACACCGTCCGCCGTCAACACGCATCACGCGCGAGCGAGCGCACCTTTTCTACGCGTCTAGTGTCCAGCGCGCACCGCACGTCTACCGCGCCCCCGCGCTCTTGAACATTTTGCGCCACACCCGCTTGATCGTCCCGCCCCGCTTCACCGCCCTCTCGTCGTGCGCGGGGGACACCGCAACCGTCACCTGCGCCGCCACCAGCGGGGCGTGCTTCTTCCTGAGCGTCGTGCGCCGCCGCGCCGTGCCCTGCGTGTCCCGCGGCAGCGGCACATACTCCACCGGGACCCCGTTCACGCACACCTCGACGGCCCCCGCGCCCGCGCCCACGCCCGCCTTCTCGTCCGCGCCCGCCTGCTCCTCCTCGCGCTCCTTCTCGCGGCCGGCCGTGCGCACGCTCCCGCTCCCGCTCGAGCTCACCGTCCGGCTGCGCGTCAGGCTCGGCGTGTCCGCGCTCCCGTCCGTGCCCGAGCGCACCCGCAGCACCGGCAGCGCGAGGCTCTCCTCCGGCGTCTCAGGCGGCGGCGGCGGCGGCGGCGGCGGCGGCGCAAGGCTCTCAGACGGCGGCGCAAGGCTCTCAGACGGCGGCGCAAGGCTCTCATACGGCGGCACGATACTTTCTTCTGGCGCCTTAGCTTCCAGTCTCGTAGGCGTCCTCGCTTCCGGCGTCGAGGGCGTCCTGGGCGGCGACGGGCTCTCCGGCGACTCAAGCGCAGTCGCGTAGCTCTGCATCGAGCTCACCGAGCTCACGTGCGAGAGCTGCGAGACGCGCCACGCAGGGACGGACAGGGACGCGGGCACGAAGGCGCGCGCGGGGGGCGTGAGCACGCGCGCGCGCGCGCGGGAGTCTTGAGCACTCTGCACCCGGCGCTGATCGTCCTGCGCACCCTGCCCCCGGCGTCTTTCGTCGCTCGGCCCTAGGCGGCGGTCATCGGTGGGCTCCTGTTGCTGATGCTGCTGCTGCCGCGCACGCGCGAGCTCCACGCTCATACGCCGTCCGAGGGCCGCCAGCGGGCTCTCCGCGCGCGCCATGCTCGGCGAGATGTTAAGCGACGGGCGCGTCTCGTCCTGCGATGACCGTGGCGGCGGCGGCGCCGACGTCTGCGGTGTCGGGCTCGGCGATGCGCGCGCCTGCACCTGCGCCTGCGCAGACGGCGGCCCCGGTCTCGTCGGCAAAGGCGGGTGCTCGGCAGGCGAGCCCACCCGCGGGGGCACAAAGACCTCCCCATGCGCCCTCGTCACCTCCTCGATCCCGCCCGCGCCCCTCCCGCCACCGCCGCCGCCCACGACGGCCATCGCCGAGCGGCTCCGCGGCCGCTCCGCCTTGCGCACGGGCATGACGACGCCCTCGCGGCGGATGCCCTCGCGCGAGAAGCGGGGCGGCGCGACGACCTGCATCCACGTCGCCTCGGGGCTCGCGGGGTCCGCGAGCGTGCGCACGAGGTGGGTGAGCGGCGGCGGCGGCGGCGGCGCGGGCGGCACCGCGGTCAGCCAGTGGCCCTGGCCCTGGCCCTGCGTGCTCTGGCGGCGGCGGCGGCCGAGGCTCTGCGTGTCCGCCTGGAAGAACGACGCAGCACGCTCTTGCCGGGCGTGCGTGCTGCTGGAGTGGGCGGGGGGCAGCAGCGACGAGCGGCGGCTCGCGCGCGGGCGGGCAGGCTCTGCCTCTGTGCCGGCGCTGCTGACGGACGCGGCGGACGCGGAGGCGGCGCGGCGCGTGCTCGCGTCGGCGTGCGCGAAGAGCTTGCCGATGGAGGCGGACGCGCGGCGCTTGGCCTTTGTGCTGTCCTTGTCCTTGGGGGATCCCGGCTGTGGGGCGTGGTCGCGCGGGGGGAAGAGGACGGGCTCGGGCTTGCGGAGCTTGTTGCGGCCGGGGGCGGTGTGGTGCTCGCTGCTGGAGCTGCCGTAGCCGTAGACGCTGCCGCAGGCGGCGGAGGAGACGTCGCCGTCGGCGGCGGGGTCGTGGTCGTCGTCATGCTCGTGGTCGTGGTCGGTCGAGCTGCGTGCGTGGCCGTTGTCCGAGGGCACGCCTAGGGACGGGCCGGCGAGGGGCGAGGAGCGGAGGGGGCGCATGGTGTGGCGGCGCGGGGACATTGGGGGCCGTGGGGGTGGGGCGGAGAGTGGGGCGGCGGACGATGAGGATGCCACGGCAGGCGCGGGGAGCGCAGCGAATGTGGATGCGCGCTGGGGAAGCGAGACGGACGGTGCAGGCAGCGCGGAGAATGAGGATGCGCGGTGTGGTGGGAGCGACATGGTCTATGCGTATTAGGATGTGTTGAGGTGGAAAAGAGCGGACTGGTAGAGCCTGCACGATGAGAGAGAGGGCGAGGACGGGTTGGTAGGCAAAGAGGACTTACGAGGTGGACGATGGAATGCCTGTTGCTTGCACGAGAGTGAGTATAAGTAAGGGAATGGAATGAGATGAGGCAGAAGGGGTGCGAGAGTGGGAAGGTAGATACGGCAGGATTGGCAGACATTGGAAGCAGGGAGATGACGACGCGGAGGGAGTGCGGATGAGAGCTCACCAGATGACTGTGCGATGGGTGTCTGCAATGTGTCTGCTCGTCTACGCAACGATCGCTGAGACGGAATGATCGAGCAGATGTACGCGAGATGAGGGAGGTGGGAGTGAATATACTCCGGATGAGGTGTGGTATGATAGGACAGGAGAGAGGAAAAGGAGGGAGGAGGGAGGTAGGTAGGGAAGGGGGACGCGAGAAGGGGCGTGGGTGCGAGCAGAGGCAGAGAAGCGAGGGTAGCGATGTTGGCTATGTATAGCTAATCAAAAGCAAAAGTAAACCACGGGCGATGCGCCGTGCTGGGCGGCCATGGCGGCACCGTGCACCACCACGGTCGTCCTCCGTGCCTGCCCCCCCTCTGTCCGCCGTCCGCCGTCCACCGCACACCGCACACGGACCCATGCTGCCCGTCGTCACCCGTCGTCCACAACCCATCGTCCGTTGCCGTCTCTGCCGTGGGCAGTCAACAGGCGTGTGTGCAAGGACGGCGTCGGGCGTGTGCCGAGCACGATGATGACGTGATGCACGCCCTGGGCAGGAGGAGCGTCAAATATAGTTCTTGCCACTCGGCCCGGGAAGAGGTGGCCGAGTGGGAGCTTGTCGCCGGGCTCGTTCTCGCAGCCCTCGCCGTCTGTCGCGGACTGTACAAGTCTCTGCGGCCCCATATAGCCGTTCATTTACCTTTCTTTCTTTTTGATCCGCCCGGTCATCAGATCTCGGCCCCCAGGGCACCAATCAGCGGGCCACTGGTGTGATGCGCCTTTATCTGCCACAGCACACTATGATGGTTCTGCGTCTGTTATTTTCGCTCCAGCAAGCGTCTTACGTTGTGCACCCCACCACCCAGCTGCTCTCCAAGGCACCATGTCCGCTATTTTCGTCGTCAACGTGCACTACACACTCCCGAGTAGAATCTGCGAATCCCGCCACACATGCTTCGCCCGTACGTACTCTCGATGCCACCGTCGTGCCAGCGCCGCGCCACGCCTCCCTCCCCCTTATCAAGCTCTCGCCTACCGCATTACAGCACTCATCACTTCCTTCCAGTCCGCAGCAGCAGCCTCCTGACCGCCTACACCATCACACACCTCCGATGACAGCGGCGTTGGCACACCCGCCAGCGCAAACGTCTGGCGCCCTCCATGTCGCCGTGCATTCGTCTGAGATCTATGCTCGCCGACGCTCCCCTCACATGCCTTCCCACGTCTACAAGAACGCACTAGCCACCTCAGCGAGGCCACATCCCCATTTCCCGTCTGACGCGCTACGCTCAAACGCCCACTATCGTCCGTCCTCCCCCGCAGCGCCCTCCTGCTATCGCCGCCCACAGCGCATATTCACCATGCCGCATTCACGTCATGCGGGCAACGTTCCGCTTGGGTCTATCATGATGCCCCCTCGGGGGCGCCCCTCCGCCCTCACCAACAAACCCACCGCGGCGCACGTCTCGCCCGCCAGCGTGGTGTGCGCACGCGCGTGGAGGCCGCTGCTCTCAACAGAGGCTCGGTCCGCGCTCGCGCTCGCGCTCAGACCCCAGAGCCGGTTCTCGAGCCGGGACTGACGGCACGCACGCGCGGTGCGACTCGTCGACGACGCGTCGCCCGGCTGCGCGTGTCGAGCATCAGCATGGACGCCGCCGCCCCGCCCCGCCCGCTCCCAGCACCCAAGCAAGGACCCGCCGGCTCGTGCGCCATGGCCCGGCGCAGCGCTCGCCCAATGGCCGGCACGGCCGGGGCTTGCACCCAACACGCACGGCGGGTGTGAGCCACCACGGTCCTTCCTACCGCACAGCGCCGGGCCCGCCGCGGGCCGTGTGCACTGTCCCAGGAAAGGCGGACTGCACCGACAATGCAAACAGCCGCGGCTGCCACGCTGCGCGATGGCCGCGCCATCCAGCCTGTGCGGCATGTCGCGCTGCGGCGGCAGGCCCCCGAGTCAACTTCCAGAACGCGGTGGTCTCCAAGACGAGGACGTCTGCTGCACGGCACGCCAGGATCAGGTCGCATTTACCGTGAGGTTTGTCCGCAGGGGCACCAGTCATGCTGGTGTGTCGGTCGCCCCGCTTCTGACGGAGCCTGGGGTTCCTGTCCAGAGCAGGTGCCCGGCCGGCGAGGTGCGCGAGACCACAACTGATACCGCAAGCTCCCCCAAGGCGGCCATAGGTGCATCTTGCACATCCGGTCTGTATCAGCGTATCGACGAGGGTAGCAATGGTGAGGCACTGCGTAGGGACTCGTTGCAGCCTTTTCGCCCATCCCCTAGCAAGCTCCCAAGCCTATCCTGGCCTTGAGACTCGAGGATGGATGGATTGAGGTGGTATTGACTGCGCTCCTAGCCATGGGATTGCAAGGCGCAGAGTCCGACTTCATCCCGGACGACGACGGTGTTCGTTGGCCAAATTGCAGCAAAGGTGTCCCATCGCGGTCCAAGGTGTGTGCGCAACCATTGCAAACGAGCAGTGGCTCTGAACGTTCATATGACACATTTGAGACTGACCGAATCATGGCACATGATGATCCCATATGCACGCAACTGGTTGTTCCAGGTGCCCGAATTCTACAAGGGTATGCGATGATGACATGGGAGCCGTTACAACACTGGTTCATCGTCCCTCGAGATGTCGAGGACGGCTGGAACATTAATAGTCATAATGCTGTTTCACTGCCGAGGTCGGGATTGCGATTAGGGTACCATCCATAGTGACCCTGTCATTTGTATGCTGCCGCATCTGTTCGAATAATGTTTGGTTTGATGTTCTGGTGCGCACCCCGATCGTGTATCGTAATAGACGCGGCATCGCCGCTTTGAACATGCTTCTCCTTACTTGACCGTCTACCGGTCAACCGCCACAGACGGACTAGGGGCGAGAAACGCTGCCAATGTGACAATATAAAGATATTCCAGACAAACAACAGGGAGCACACATTTACATCGGCACGATTGGGGCGCTGCCCTTCTCCAGTGCCGTCCGCAAGCTGGTCAGATCGCTGCATCAGCATCCTTACCTCCACTGATGGGCGGGAACGGGCACACCTATAATCGTCGCCGTTCTGCGTGATGTACCGCACCCACGGAAGCGCCTGGTACCCGCTCTTCTCGACAATTTTGAGGTAGCGCACCTGGATGCCCGACACGGTGAAGTACGGGATCTCGAACTTGACCGTGATCGGCGCGCGCTTGTCCATGCTGTCTTGCTCTGCACCAGTGGGTATGCCGCAAATAATAAGTAAATATGCGGTGGAGCGGACGCTGCGGGCGCGCACGCACCTCCTCGCACGCTCGGCAGGCCAAAGTGCGCGCGCATGAGGAACTCGCGGCCGCCGCCGAGCTGCTTGATCTTCCACACGAATGCGCTCTTGTCCGGGGCGTACTGCACCGCGCCCGTCGACGCCTAGCACACGTCAGTGCATGAGCGATGAGTGCCACGACCGCGACTGCGCCGCGCGCGAAGCGAAGCAGATCCCAAGCTCACCCGGAACTTCGGCGTGTCCGCGTCGTCCGGCACGGGGACGTAGATCTCGACGTTGTTGGCCGTGCTCCGCCGCTTGAACTGCGCCTTGACCTTGACCATGTACTCCACCCTGCTGCCCTTGTGGTGCTCGACCGCCGCCTCCACCCAGATGAGCGGCTTCACGGGCGTCGACAGGCGGTAGCTCATCAGCTCGAACTCGCCGTCGGGCGGGATGAACGAGATCGTGCGGTCGTTCTCGAAGCGCGAGAGCCGCACGCACTGGTGGAACTTGACGTCCTCCATCTCGATCGCCTTCCCCCGCGCAGCTGGAGGCGCTGATCAGCACCGCACACCGCGGTGGGCGCCGCGACGAACGAAAGCACTCACTTCGCCCTGTCGTCTCGAACATCACTTTATCGTTCAGGCCCAGGCGGAGCTCCGGCATGCCGGACAGGTAGCACTTCATCTTGACCGCCCCCAGAATCTCTGAGCGAACGACGTTTCCATTTGCGTTGACCTTGATGATGGATGTTAGCATGAACCGATGCGGAGCAGGGTCCCACACGCACAAGCAGATTGACACTCTCGATGACGTCCAGGAAGACTTCGTTCTTGCGGTACCGGATCCCCTCTGATCGCCACGACACGGCATTCGTGACCGCTATTGGCGGCCGGACCTGCACCTCCAGCTTGTACGACTCTTGCGTGATGTACCTGCCCGCCCGCGCGTCAGCACGCACGCACGACGCCCAAGCGTACCCCGGACTACGCACTCCTGGAGGATCTTGCTCTCCGTCGTCTGCGGGTACCCAAAGTCCATCATCTCGTCCAGCAGCTCGTAGATGATGACAAAGTTGTCGCGGATCGACTCCTCCTCGAGCTCCTTGAAGTACTCGACGAGGACCTGCACCAGTCGGTGCAGAAATAGGATGATCTCCGCCGCGTTGCTGTTGCGCTTCGACAGCGCGAGCACTGTGTCGCGCAGACCGTGGCGACATCAGGCATCGGGCGGTCAGCGTGTGCGCAGCAGGTCTGCCCGCGGATGCACTCACGATACAAGTTTGAATGTCGGATGTGCATGTAGTTGATTCCTTCGCGCGTGAAGCACGGTGTAACCTGATGGCCCTCCTCCTCGAGGTCGAGCACGATAGGTAGAAAGCGTTCGATATACGACGGGGGGACATCGTCGCGGTACGACCGCTGGATGAGCGGCTTGCCCTTCAGGTCGAGGATTGCGACTAGACTGGCCATTGGGAACTATTTCGTCCTCAAAAGACCGTCGAGGTAGTAAGCGGTTTGACAAGACCGATTGTCGAGCGGGATGCAGCTAGATTCTCCGAGTCCAGGACGATGGTAATGAGCGCAGGTAAGCATCGCGTTACAACCATCAGCATGATTGGTTAGCGCCGATCGCACAAGCTGCGATTTTGAGGACATCATCACACACATTTGGTACAACATTGGTGAATGCGCTTGTTAACAACACTGGTATAAAAGTCTACAGAACCAGAACACGTAGCAGGGTGTGCTAATAAATCAAGAAAACACGCTCTCGTAGGAGAGCACGCATAACGATCGTGAGGGAAAATGACATCGACACTAATAGACCAATGCGACAACAGCAGGAGTCTCTAAGAAATAAGGAACAGCACTGTAGACTACTCAGGGCAGCGCGTCATGCGCGGATCGTCTGTCGACGCTGCCCCGAAAATAAGGATTAGATAATAGAAGATACTCGTACACAGTAACGTTTACAACTTCATGACTTCGCCCTACCTGGAAGAGCAGCACGAGTGTGATGTCCGCACATCAGTCATCTGTAGCGCCGAGCCGAGGGACGACGACGACGAGTACCCGCCAGATGACTGTGAAGAGAACGACGATGCGCGGCTCGTCCGAGGCACCATCAGTGTCTGCATGCTCCATGCGTCCGCCGTCTCAGTCCAAACAGAAGCATCTCCGCCCATGGCCGGGGCGCCCACATGCCCGTCGCCTAAATTTGTGGGTGGCTCCGCCTGCTGGTGTGCACCGCCGCAACATGGCGCGCGCTCGCCGGACGTTGCGAACGTCAGCGTGCGGTTCGGATCCTCGTGTCCACAGTCCGTGCACTGACAACCCTGGCAGCACCCACAGCAGTCTGCCGCGCACGTACACAGGCCTGGCGGGCACCCACAACGTCCACCACAACACTCTTGAGGGGCCGGCACGGCCGCAGGGACACTCCCGTCGTGAAATTCGTTCCATAGCGCGTACGTCTGCAGCATGGAGGGGTCGAAGCGTGCATCGGGTGGGGTAGGAGCATCCTGTGAGGAGCTACGCTGGGAAAGCGTTGTAGGATCTTCGTTGAGGATGGTAGGGAATGGGGAGAGCGGCTGCGACGGCGGGGGAAGGCCCGAGGCTTGCCGGAGCCACTCCTCGACATGCTGAACCTGTGCTGGGTCGAAAGCATCTCCAGAAGATTCAGGCATAGTCTCGGGAAGGGAGAATATGGCGCAATCGAGGCAACTCATACATGTATGTGGATTTGAGCAGGACGCGGTGGGATCGACATCAGGTCCACGGTGTAGGACACAGCCTGCGCAGGCACACGATTGTCCGCAACCACATAAGTTGGCCGCCATCAATGCCTCTTGAGCTGCCAAACTAGGCGAGAGAAGCCAAGAAGGCATGCCCGATGAGGCCATGGCAGGATGCGAAGCAGGAGGAACGTGCACGGATGATAAGGGCTGTAGATACGCCGAGGATTCCTCAGGCTGCGCAGCTGGCTCCGAGGGATGTGCATACTCGTATGCCCGCTCGTAGGGACTGTAGAAGGCTTGTCCGTGATGGACCTGGTGGCGAGTGGTAGGCACAACGGAAGGCTCATGTACGGGCCCGGAGCCAAGGGGCGACGATTGTCGTTCTGAATTTGGGGGGCGTGGGAGGACAGGACGGTAGTCTCCCGTGTGTGCGTGAACGACGAGACCAGCGGGTTGCGTGATTGGTGGTTCGCAATCAGGAGTACTTGTAGGTGCGACGATCTCACGTTTAACCTTGCGCTTCGGACGGGGAGCGCGTACAGTGCAGCAATTGCAAGACCCGGTCTTTTCACAAGAACATTGCGACGACGAGGCGTTGCCTATGCGAAGTCAATGTTATTCCGGTAAGGGACCGAAGTAAGAACGTACCATTCTCGGAGTCCGAGATATCACTGGCGAGACGCAGCGCGACCGACGCTTCCAGCGCTTCAGGCAAACCACTGGGGAACGCGGCGCTGGCTGGAACCTTCGTACCGCCTAGGGGGACAGGAGACACGAGAGCCTTGACGGTCAGACTAGTGTCATCACACCATCCGACGTGCTGAGACACACCTCGTCTTGGATAGCCATCACTGAGGTCGTCGCGTATTGCACACATACACTTGACGTGCACTTGTTTTGTTTTACGCAACTCTCTGCAGTGATCGCATTGTGTGACCGGACGGCCCTTCCTTTTGATCTCGAAAAGAGGGCGGTCGGTATGCTTGCATTGCGATGAGCGATGGCCTTTTATACAGGTCTCGCTGCGGGGGAGTTGATTCAGTTTCGAGACACTTCGCGACATACAGATTCTGTCTTACCATGCATACTTCTTGTCAGCTAGGTATACCTGAGAGCGTCCTCAGAACCTCTTTGAAGAATGAAGTGGATCCAGTACGTACCATGTCTGGCTGTGCGGGGAGGCGAGATGTGTGCGAGAGGAGGATTGCTTGAGCTGAGAAAACCGGAGAAAGCAGATATATGTTAAGGAGAGCCGCCCCAGACGGAGAGTGAGGCACTCTCGTGCGCCCGTGACGCTCAAAGTCAGCGCTATTCCGTCAATTGCTGACCGTGGTGAAACGACATAGGCAACAGAGGAGGGGGGGGGAACGAGACTTGTAAGAGGTCCCCCTGCTCGCTCAAATACAGGGCCCACCGCCACTGCGTGCAAACAAGTGCACACCCGGAACCCGGATCGAGTGAGGAGCGCCCCGTCACCTCCGTCACACTTCAGCCCAAGCGCTCGAGTCGCGAATTTAACGCTGTTCCGTACATGTGAGTTTCCGTCGATTTCGCGACAGCCGCGATACGCACAGGCAGGAAGTACCAGGACTCCTTCATCTGGCAGGCGAGGCTGTACTGATAGTACGCCGCATTGCGCAGCTCCGTGGTCTCATGGCTGGCGAGATCTTCCGAGAAGGGCGGTCGTGGAATGGTTTCCGTGGACAACGAACGTTCATAGAAACACCGGTACCACTGTACAGCTAGGAGATCCGATGAACGACGGAGTTTCTGCCGTGGATATGCATACGCGGACTAAATTTCACATTTGCCATATCGAAAAGTAACAGTGGTTCCATCACGTGCCCTCGACGCGCTGCAAAAAACTTGCGTAGACGCCCAGTCTGCAGACCGAATCGGCAGCAGCGAACATAGCCTAACATACTCTCTGTCGGTCTCCGACCACCCTTGGTTGTGTGTCTTCTCCAATCCTTTGGACACCACATCGCTCTCCTCGCTTCGCCCAATGCCGGACTCGTTCTTCGCCGCGTCAAAGCCTCGCAAGCGGAAGAGGACGACTTCTACTCAGGAGCACAGCGCGTCTACCTCGAAAAAGGGCCGCTGGGCAGGTGGTGGCAAGCAAACGAAAGAGAAACAGAAGTCTGGAACTACTCCCACATCAAAGAAGAAACGCGATGAGGAGCTCTCGGATGAGACGCAGGACGATGAGTCCGCCGGTGGGATCGACGAGATGGACCTGAGGGCACCGGACGTCGATCCCATTGCGTACGAAAGCGGAGACGAGGACGAGGACGAGACCCCGGCTGAAAAGAGGCTGCGGCTGGCGAAGCTCTACCTCGATAGTGTCAAGCAGGGTATGGGCTTAGGTGCGTTCCATTGGTGAAATTTCTGTGTCGGTTATTGACTCGGGTATGTACAGCTGAAGGAGAATTTGACGCTGCCGAGATTGACCGCGAGCTCATTTCCGCGCGGCTTAAACAAGATGTAATGGAGCATTCTGGCAAAGTGCATCTCTATGTCGCGGACAGTGTATGTACCACATCCAAGCCCTCGTCAAGTTAGTGCTAAAAGTGCCTTCCTAGTTTAACATAAGCGATGCACCATCCCTGCGTACTCGTGGACATCGTTTCTCAGTGACGGCTGCTGCTGCCTCGCCCGATGCGCGATGGCTATTCACCGCCGGCAAAGATGGCATGATCATCAAATGGGACTTGCACACGGGTCGCAAGGCGCATATACATCACAAGTGCCGTCCAGACAAAGGCAAGGCCAAGGCAGCCGAGGTCGACGGGCACACGGATGAAGTCTGGGCGCTCGCGGTGAGCGCAGACGGGCGGTACCTCGCGAGCGGAGGTCGTGATCGGCGCGTCGGCGTGTGGGATGTGGAGAAGGATGAGTGGGTAAAGGGTTTCGGCGGGCACCGCGACGCTATCTCGGTATGCTTGTCCCTATCGACGTCCAGCTTTACGACGCTGATCACTGAGCAGGCGTTAGCATTCCGTAAGGCACCGTCGAGCGCATCGACATCCACGCAACTCTACTCGGGCTCGTTTGACCGCACACTGAAGCTGTTCGACCTGACGTCGATGGGCTACGTCGAGACGCTGTTCGGGCACCAGGAGCCGGTGCTCGCGCTGGACGCGTTACGGGCCGAGACGGCGGTGAGCTGCGGTGGGCGGGACAAGACGGTGCGATTCTGGAAGATCCCTGAGGAGACGCAGCTGGTGTTCCGTGGAGGCGGGCGGAGCACCTGGACAGACGAGCTGGACGGGATGGAGGTGGACGAAGAAGGCGATGAGGGGGTGCCGCGGCGGGCAAAGCCAAAAAAGGGGGACGGACCTGCACGCGCAAAGTTCGTTGAGGGGAGCATCGAATGCTTAGCGATGATCGACGAGAGCACATTCGTCAGTGGAGGCGACAGTGGCTCGATCAATCTGTGGACCACGCAGAAGAAAAAGCCGGTGTTCACACAGGCCCTTGCACATGGCATCGATGAGTCTCAAGTGGACACCGAAGATGTCGAGATTGTGCGAAAACCGCGGTGGGTGACTGCCATCGGTTGTCTCCGCTATTCCGATATATTTGCATCAGGTAACTGGATATGCAACTTTCCTCGTAAGCCTCATATTGACGTATGTTGTGCATTGTATCAGGGTCATGGGATGGGGAGATCCGACTGTGGAAGCTCGACGCAAAGCTCAAGTCGTTCTCTCTGGCTGGCACCATACCTGCACTGGGCGTAGTGAACTCCATTCAGTTCGTCACTCCGCCACAAGAGCTCTTTGAGAAGGCACAATGGGCACGTAGTACACCTACCACCGATAAGTCAAGCGACAGTACAGCCGCGAATGGGACCCGGCGTGCAAAGCTGAAACACGATGCAACTCTTATGATTGCAGCTGTCGGGCGCGAGACGCGTTTCGGACGGTGGATAGAAAAAAAGGGCGACGGCTTCCTGAATGGCGCTCTCATCGTTGCATTGCGACCTCGGACATCTGACTGATAGCGTAATCCTGCGGAAATATACTCACGCCATGCGCAATTTATTCATCTCGTTGGCCCTATGGGCCGTTACTGTCGGTATACTTTACATGAAACAGTCTCACGATCTGCGTTACAATATCTGACACCTTCAAGTAGCCGGACCGTGTAATATGGTCCGATGTGTGTCAGAGCGGGAGGAAGTTGGTTCAAGTAACTAGATGAATTCTTATCCACATTGATAGATCTGTAATATTGAGTTACGACAGGTGGGTGCACGAAGGATGATCCTGCTCCCGTGTCACTGGCAGGATGGTGATATGTTTGTTCTATGTAGTCTACACGCGTTTGCCATGGAGCTCGCGACTGTGCCATAGTGGCGGCGATACTACATGACCAGATAGTGAGCCACTGCCGTTATGCATTGCAATTCCAGCATGCAAGATATCATGCAGCATTCTTGAAGAGATGCTTTCGCAACAGCTCTAGCGATGTTTTCATTGGCGTATGCGTAGGCTACGGAATACACGCGAACGGAGAATAGTTCGGTGACGAGGGCGACAGGCTTCGCTGCTGCTACCTTCGGATCAGCTCACGCTGATTCATTTTGATATGACAAACATAATATTCTGAGGCCAAACATGTTGTGTACCAAGTTCGAAAGTAAAAGCTCACGCAGCACATTTTTGACGGTCTTTGTGGTCACGGAATACCACCCTAGGGCCGTGGGGTATGCGACGTTGCATTGGGATGGATAATTACATAGAAATACTGAGCAACACGATAATGCATTATGAAATGCAACAATTCACTTAGCGTATAACCTGATCGCGACCTGTGGTCATGCAGCATTCGCGCTGAACCCTCCACCAATTGCCGCGACCGTCAACACAACACCGATGACCTGCACCGTTCGCCAGAAGCCCGACTCGCTGCTCACTCGATCCGCATCTGAATGCCCCTCCTGCATGCGCGAGGATCCTCTGCGGCCTGTCGCGCGCTGTACGTTCGGTGATACAAAAGGGTCGTCGCGGGCGTGCGGCGGCTGGTATGCAGACCCAGAAGCAGAGCCTGGTGGTTGTCGGTAGGAGGTACCTGCTGGCCGGCGTGGATGCCGGTCCCACGCATATGTCGCGCCTCGACGACGTTGAGGCTCGTGAGACCAGTGTGCAGAATAAGGAGAATGGTGTGCTTGCGCTTGATGTTGTCGAGATTGCTGGTTCTCTTCGAGAGAGCGGTCATAAGCCCGTCTGAGCAGTATCAGGGTTTGTGCTACGCTATCCGGAGGTAGGCAGGCGCACCGCTTCCTGTCATCGCCTAGTACGGCATACGCTTCGCTGACGGCCTGAAATCTCTCCTTTGCACCTGGCTCTACAGCCACATCGGGGTGATATAACTTGGTGAGCTAACGGATCATCTATGCTGGTTAGGCTGCCAGTCGTGTACTAACAGTCGAACAACATACCTTGTAGTAGCTCGACTATACGTACGTATGAGCGTACAGCCCAAAAATATTAAAGTAGAAGTACCTTAATCTGACTCCTCGTCGCATTCTTGGGTACAGACAACGTTTGGTAGTGACCCTTGCGGCGCGACGAGGCTGAGAACTTTCGTATGCTGCGGCATGTAGGAAATGGTTCAACATTTGCAAAGCATCTATGGAGAGTGGTGTAGATCATGGAGGAAGTGGGGAGAATGAGGTAGAGCACATAGGCATTTGGACCAACATGGGGGAGTTGTAGCGAGATCCGTCGGCGCCCGCTCGTCATTCTTGCGGCAATCTCCGAGATTACGATCTGCGCACCCTTTCCGCTGCATATGAACAGGGGTTACTTCCGCTTGAGTGTCCACAAGGTGAGTTTATTTTTCACGAGCCATCTTTTGTATAATATTCAATATACAGCACATGCAGCCGCTCCAAATTCACAGTATGTAATGGTTTGGCGGGGTATCCACCAGGCCCTTCGCGTATCACTAGATGCCTCCGTAGATGATGTCCCACAGCTGCGTCTGGGGAATGGCCTCTGCGTAGGCCCTCCGCGCAAGCCTCGTGTGCGTAGCCTGCTCGTAGGCGTACGCGTAGGACACAAGGTCGAACTCACTGTACGCGGTGCCGAGGAAGGAAAGACCAAGAGGTACCCCGGGAGCAGGATACACGGTTTCCGGCCCTGCCAGTCCGATCGTGACATTCTGCGGATAGAAACCGAGAGGTACTGTGCACATGTCGTGAGCAGTCTGCAAAGTTAGTTCATAAAGGTCTTGCCTGTTACAATAGGGTATCCGGCAATCGCTGAAAAGATCGCGAGTGAGTTGGTATCACTGTATCACGATGAGCGGCCTACCAGGCGGAGTAGTCGTAAATCCGGAGGCGGGGAGGAGGAGCGCATCGAGGTCGTACATTTGAAGAGCGGCATCAATACCATTCGTTCGTCCCATGTAGTAGTCGGCCGCCAGAGCAGCATAGTAGGTTGCGTTGAAGCCAGTCGTGGCCTCTGACGCGATCAAGCTGTACAACCATCACAAACAGAGCCTTCGAAACGAGCACCGCGAGCACGCTCACATGCTTTGGTCAGTATACCCCTGTGGCTCCTCCAGGGTCGGATTATCATTATCGAACTGAATCAACTGTGCCAAAGAGCGCACACCCGAGGGATTCTCAATTAGTGACTCGTACCACGCGTTGAGCTGAATCTACAACGAGGGAGTGCGCAGGTCGGCAATCTGCTTCGTACGTGGTAAACGCCCGCTCACCGACCTTGAAGTCCGTGTCCAGAACAACCGTCTCGTTGTTGGACTGCGCAATCGCCTCAGCAGAAGGCAAATTCGCAGGATCCACCACCGTGGCACCCAGGCTCGCGATCGTCGCCAACGCCTGTTCGAACACCTCATTGACGTACGGGTCGTTCCCCGTGATCGTGTCGTTCAGAAACACCGCGCGCGGCACGCCGATGCGCTTGCCCTGCAGGGCGTTGCGATCGAGGGCAAGCGCGTAGTTGGACACCGGCACCGGCTGCGCGAGCGTGAAGTTGTCGTTCGGGTCGGGGCCTGCGATGATCGAGAGCACAATGGCGGCATCAGCGACTGAGCGCACGAGCGGCCCGACGGTGTCCTGGTGTTCGGAGATCGGGATTACTGGGGGGGTGCGGTCAGCCCGCTGACACGGCGGAAAAGCGGTGCCCATACCTCCCGCGCGCGAGGTGAGCCCCACCGTCGGTTTGATGCCGACGAGGTTGTTTCGGTCTGCGGGGCATGTGATGCTGCCGTCCGTCTCCGTGCCCAGCGTGACAGCCGCTAGGCCAATCGAGGCCGAGACACCGGAGCCCGCCGAGGACCCGCACTCGCGGTTGCGTCTCAGTCAGCGGTCGTGCAAGAGCGCAGAAGACGCTTACAGGATCCGCGTGGGGGAAGTACGCGTTCGTGCACTGGCCACCGCGCCCCGACCACCCAGAGGCCAGGTTCCCCCGGAAATGCGCAAACTCAGACAAGTTGGCCTTGCCTGGCGCAGTGTGCCCGTGTCATCGTTTCATACACGAGCGCTCGTACACGGGGAGGGACCCACCGAGGATGATGGCACCGGCGGCCCGCAATCTCTTGACCACGCCCGCATCGTCAGGGACAATGGAGCGGAGCAAGCTGTACGACCCGGCGGTCGTGTTCATTCCTGGAGCACAGCGGGCATCAGTACGGACCGCAATAATCATCTCAATCAAGGGCCGCTCACCCTCGGAGGCCAGAGTGGCAATGTTGTCTTTGACCAGCACCGGGATACCGTGCAAGGCGCTGCGCGGGCCCGTCGCGCGGCGCTCGGCATCAAGCGCGGCGGCCTGCGCGAGTGCGGACGGGTTCGTCTCGATGACGGCGCGCAGCTCGGGCCCCTGCAGGTTGACCTCCTCGATGCGCGCAAAGTATGCCTGGGCACACGAAACGCGTGACACCCCGCTCCGACCGCGAAGCGGGACAAGCCGGGCGACGCACCTTGACCAGGTCGACGCTCGTGAAGTATCCGCCCTCGAGGCCTGCCTGCGGGTGCGTCCGGTCGGCGTCGTACCCGCGGGAGACATGGCGCACTGCGCACCTGCAGTTCAATCACAGACGCTTCGTACAGGTCCGGAAGGGCAGCGCGGTGCTTGGGCGAGCCCCGCCGGCGGCTTAGCCGGGAGGACAGCGAGGACGCAGCCGCGCTCTGGCCGAGGCCGAGGACCAGGAGCACGAAGACAGCGACCGCACGCATGGCAAGGAAAGCTCTAGTCATGGCGAGTTTGTCTGCGCGAGCCGAACGAAGAGCCTGCATCGCCGCGACGTTATATAGTACACATCGGGCGACCAGTACGGTCCACGACGTTATGGGACCATGCATGTGCCCGCTCGTTATCTGCGATTCCCTGAGAAGTGCGCGAACTGTACGTTGGCCCTCGCGATTAGCCATATAAAACGAGCAGCCAGATGCTTGGTAAGTGCGAGCCTCCTGCACCGTTCACGTACTGTGCTGCCACATTGGCCTCGGGCCGGGAGAACAGAATACCAAGCGATCGGCATGCCGTCAACTTATGTGTGAGGCTTGAGGGCGATAACGCGTCGAGGTGATTTCTCGGGGAAACTCCGACATGAAGGCCAAGCCAGTCAATAGACAAGGAAGAGATTGACACGGTATGATAATTGAGCGGTGTGCCAGTGATCAGTCATTGGCATAACATAGAATGTCTGATGACTGAAGGCTAAACGCTGGTGAGGCTCGTTAAAGATTTATGAACCGCTGCAAGTTCACTGTTACGGCATCAGACGAACATTGAGAAAATGTTCAAGCGGATACAAAACCGGATTTGAAATGGATGAATTGAGCAAAAGAAGAGACATCTTCTCACCATGTACTTCAAGAACAACTTGGGCTATGCTGTAACAAAGACCGTCAAGACCGTCGCCTCACAGCATATTGTGCGGCATTAACATTCGAATTTGGACTGTTTCGTTCTTTGTCAACGAACGACAGCTCAGCAAAGAGAATCATATAAGGTGCAGTGTTTGTTATACAGATGGCCTGGTGCTTGAAAACATAAGCAGTCCCATTGTCGCTCACGAGTGGGTCCAAGTCGGCTTGCGCTTCTCCGCAAACGCCGCCATACCTATGCAATGCAGAGTCAGCATCAGCGCACGAGCACCCCAGGCCACCGGACGCACCCTCCTTCTGGTCGCGCGTCGCGAACATGCCGTGGAACAGCCGCCTCTCCTGGCGCAGCCCCTCCGCGAGGCTGCCCTCGTACGCGACGTTCACGGCCTCCTTCGCCGCCTGCGCCGCGACGGCGCCCTTGCCCGCGATCTGGCCCGCGAGCGCGAGCGCGTCCGCGAGCACGTCCTCCGACACGCGCGAGACGAGCCCCCACGCGGCGGCCTCGGCGGCGCTGAACGGGCGGCCGGTGAGCACGAGCTCCATCGCGCGCGACTTGCCGATCGCGCGCACGAGCCGCTGGGTCCCGCCGGCGCCGGGGATGATGCCGATGTTGACCTCGGGCTGGCCGAAGACGGCGGTGGGCGACGCGAGGATGATGTCGCACATCATGGCGAGCTCGCAGCCCCCGCCGAGCTGTGTGTGTCACGGTAAGTGGGCCATAGGGGTGAGCGACGGGCGAGGGCGCGTACCGCATAGCCGCTGACGGCGGCGATGATGGGCTTCCGGAGGTGGGTGATGCGCGACCAGTTCTCGATGAAGCGGTTCTGGTAGACATCCGAGTCTGGGGTGGGGAGTTAGCCGGCGGGGAGGACGGACAACGACGGTGGACGACGCACACTCCTTGTCCTTCATCTCCTTGATGTCAGCGCCCGCTGTAGGCCCAGACGTGAGCGATACACAAATTGGATTTCATTATGAGGTTGACATACCTGCGAATGCACGGTCGCTGCCGGTAAGCACCAATGCACGGACGCCGTCATCTGCATCAAAGGCTGCCAGGGCTTCGTTGAGTTCCGCGAAAAGCGGGGATGATAAGGCGTTGAGCGCCTTTGGACGGTTGAGCGTGATGAGGGCAATGCCGGGGGACGGCAGCGAGGTGAGGATGTGCTCGTACTGGCGCTCCGAAGCGGATCCAGAGGACATGAGACGGAGAGAGAGGACGCGGGGGGTGCAGCGGGAAGTGGACCAGAGCCCAGTGCCAGTGCGGGCGGCACGGAGGGAAAGAGTGGGCCGAAGGAGGGACATGGCTAGATCGTCGACGGCGAAATTGACTGATGTATGATGGCGTATGCGACAGTGGCTGCGTCGATGCGACACTGCACGAAATGTCGCAACGAAGAGCAATATAGCTGCGACCGAAACCGGCTCGGCTCCTGACTAAATCGAACCGAGGCTTCTCAGACACCAGCTGACTCTTGTCCGATGAGCATTATCACCTCATTGTGTATTATTGGCCTCATTGCAGAGCACTGCCAACACCCGTTTACACACCGAACAGAGCTGTTCACTGCTTGCTCAGCTATTCACTGCTTGCTCTATGTTTGCGCACGACACTATTAGTATGTACAGCTATATCCCAAGCAACAATGTAACCAACTCTAGCACATCACGCACTGCTTCCATACCGCTTCAAGAACCCCACATGGAACTTCTCCAGCATGCCCACATACTCCTCCACGCCCGGGCACAGACACGTCAGCCGATAGTGGTGCTCGCCCTCCTTCTGCCCAAACCCGCTCCCGGGCACGACGCAGATCCCCGTCTCCTCCAGCAGCTCCAGCGCATACAGCGTGTCCGCCTCCTTGCCCGCCTTCCGCGCCGCCTCCACCGCGCCCGCCGGCAGCTCCAGCTTCGGGTACAGGTACAGCGCCCCCGGCGAGTCCACGCACGACACCCCCGGCAGCGCGTTCAGCCGCGCCGCCATCAGCGCGGTGCGCTGCGCGAGCGCCGCGTGGATCGCGTCCGTCTCCGCCTTCCACCGCGCGTGCGACGGCTCCCCGGCGCGCGGCGGGCGCACGAGGCAGTCGACGCCGATCTGCCCCGACAGCGGCGGGCACAGCCCGACGCTCACCATCTTGTACAGCAGCGCGCGCACGTCCGGCGCGACGTTGCAGCACTCGAAGTAGCCCCCGCGCCGCCCGCACTCGCCGAAGACGCCCTTGGAGATGGAGTGGAACGAGATCAGCGGGACCGGCGAGCGCAGCCGCCGCACGGTCTGCTTGAACGAGTGGAACGGGTGCGCCGCGCGCCGGTGCAGGTTGTCCTGGTACACCTCGTCCGCGAGCAGCACGAGCGAGTGCTCCTCGCACAGCCACACGAGCTCCTCCATCGTCTTCTCGTCGAGCAGCGCGCCGGTCGGGTTGCCCGGGTTGATCACGACCAGCGCGCGCGGCAGCACGCCCGTGCCGTCCGCCTCCGCCTTCGTGAGCGCCGCGCGGATCTCCTCGAGCGACGTCGACCAGCCGTCCGTCTCCGAGAGGTGGTACGGCAGCGGGACGCCCGAGTACTGCGCGAGCGTCGCGGTGTAGAGCGGGTACTGGGGGATCGGGATCAGAATGCCGGTCTTGTGCGGCGTGATGAGGACGTTGAGCAGAAGCGACACGCCCGCGGACGCGCCGGCAGTCAGGAAGATGTCCTCGGGGTCGCTCGGGAACCCGTCGCGCTCTGCGGGGACGTGAGTACAGGCAGTAGTCAATGGCAAGTCACGCACCTTCGATAAACTGTGCGACGTGTTTGCGGATGAGCGGGATGCCCTTGCTGTGTGAGTACGCTCCGATGGAGCCGATTTCCGCCTGGAGCTGCTGTGCGCGCTCAATCACGTCCGATGGCCACTTGTCCTTGACGATGTCGATCAATGGCGGGTATTCCATCAATGCTGCGACCTGACGGGCAAGACATAAGCATCAGAGCGTGTGCAGGAAGGCATGACAGAGAGCCGTTGGGACAAGGTGCACACACATGTCAGCACAACGAGTCCTTCGATCATATTTCGCGCATACAATGTGAAACATCCTTCCGTTATAGAGTATGAGACTGAATCCCGCGCTTTTGAGCCATCGGAATGGCACTGCGAGCACAAGGCAGGGGACGCACGGTCTGCTGGATTGGAAGTCTTACATGCAGTATCGTGGATCTCAAATCAGTTTATTGCTCTAGGTTTGGGCCGAAGCATGACAGACGGGAAGATCCAACTCCTGCGTTTGCTCTCTGAGGGGCTGCCATTCCTTTGCAGACGTCCTCGGGTCATACAACCACATGGGAGGTGGAAAGCAACCCGTCAAGGATTAGTTGAGCTACGGGTGGATCTTCGGTCATGGGGCACACTGTGCGTGTAGAGAGATGGGCCAGGCGCGTTGTACGACGCGTTCGGGGAGAGGAAGACACACACCTGTCTCGTGAACGTGATCGGCGGCTGGTCCAGCCCCTTTTGCTGCGGGTTGCCGATGTTGCTCGAGATGACCTTGCTGAACGGGAGCTTGTCCCTGTGCTCCTGGGAGCGCAGCCGCTCGTTCAGCTCGTCGGCCTTTATGGCGAGCTCGCCACGGACGGCATACTGCACGTTGAGGACGGCAGGGTTGAGGTCGGCGACGGCGAGGGGGCGCATGGCGTGGCGGTGCTGATCGGAGTACGAGTGAGAAAAGCGGCGCGCGCAGACGTGGGCGATGGCGCGGGTGCGAAGGGCGAGCGGGGTGCGGGCGAGCGTGCGCTGCATCAGTCGCAGGCTTTTTAGGGAGGGCGAGGAAGGGCCCGCAGCTGGCAGGCGTGGTCAGGAGACTCGAGTCAGTCGTCGAGGCGTGGCAGACGCGTGCACGGAGGCCCGCAAGACGAGCGTATATACGCGCCTGCTTGCAGCGACGATCGACCTTGCGGGGTGTGCGGCCGGTCCTGCCGCATCGCCAACGCGGCATGCAGTAGCGAAGGGCACATAGTGCGCAGCGTGGTGAGCAGTAGCAGATATGGCGTAGAGCGGCTGCGGCCGATCTTTCCTGCTTCAGTCTATATACGTGCCTTCATGTCGAGTACGACATCTCTGACGGCGACTCGAACGTCCTCGAACGCCCGCGATGCACTGGCAGCCACACCGACGACGACCGCGCTCCACGCTGCTCTCGTCTTCGTCCACCCTCGACTAGTCTTCTGCACACCATGTTCGGCTGTTGCGTCGCCGGTCGCCCCCTCCAAACCAACCTGCAGCAGATAGACGAGACACACGCCATGTTCGAGCTCCCCGCCGCGGGCTCAATAAACCATATATGTGTCTTTCTCCTAGGAACAGGTGCGTGGCATCCCATACGCCACCCTCGCCTGTGTGCAAACCTCTCGGAGCTCGCAGTGCCCTTCCCCGACGGATACGGGGCCACCGTCCACTTCTTCTGGCCCAGCAAGGGCTTCCAGCTCCTCGGCATGTGCGCCTCTTCCTTCCCTCGCACTCCCGTCTCCCTCACGCGCCCCCAGGCTCTCCAACGACAAGCCCTCCGCCATCTTCCGCCTCCGCGGCACCTTCACCTCCCAGCCCTCCCACAACACCCTCTTCCCCGCCGCGCACCCCGCCGCCGCTGCCTCGGCCCCCGCAGACGTCACCGCCGTCCTCGGCATCGCCATCGAGCCGCTCTCCACGATCCAGTCCGAGATGGCCGCCTTGCCGTCTGCAGTTGCGCGCCCGCTGCCCGCCGCGCCCGACGCGACGCTCCTCGCGGAGCGCATCGTGAAGCACCTCTTCAACTACGTGTCCGGCTTCATCGGCGGCGGCGGGCTCGCGCCCGACAGCCTCGTCCCGATGTCCGTCATCGCCAAATGGTACGAGACGTTCACGAGCAAGGTACGCAATGCGGGCATCGGGTTCCTCGAGAATCAGGGGTGAGGCTGTGCGGAACGGTGTGCGGGTGAGCGACCACTTTTGGATATGTGACGCGTGCCGTGCGCTGCGACCCCCTCGGATGACTTTGTGGTAGGACGTTAGAGAGTGGTCTCAAAAGAACAAATGTACTCTATGGAGCTACTGCGCCGTGACTGCAAGACGTTTTGTGGAGTAGCCCACGAAACTCATGAAAATGCGAGTGTTTTTTGCACTTCCCTAAGTCTCAGAATTGATTGCGGCTCCCAATACCGACAACAATGGGCTTCCTGCGGGAACTTGCACACGGGTTGAGGCGGGGACTCCAACGTTAATCCCTCCCTACATTACGTCTCCAGGCACCTTGCGACGCTGCTGTGCTTCGCCCTACCTTCTGTAACGCAGGACGAGGAGTTCTCAATCCACAAGGTTTCCTGCAGGAGTACAGCAGCCCAGACCTGATGTATCGGCTTCGAGCGTGCAGTTCTGATATCCCTTCCTTTGTTCTTGGACGGCGTCGTCGTTTGTCAGCTCTTGTGCTATAAAAGCGACAATCATACTCCTCAGTGCCAGTCGTCAATCCCCCATTGAAGCTCTGATCAGCTATGGCTACGCGTATCATTACGGATCTGCCCGTCGAGCTCCTCGTGATGATCTTCTTCTTTCTCGATGCTCGCGATCTGATCAACTGTAAACAAGTGAGTAGTGTCGAAACAGTGGATTAGTCTAAAGCTGATCGTATACATGTTCGTAAGGTGTGCCAATTGTTCCTACAACTTATACGCGACTCCACTGTGCTGCAATATTTCTATGAACTGGAGCTTGCGGGCATGGCCGATGAGCCCTTGTGCCCGCTTCCTTACGTAGAGAGACTGCGAAAATTACGGTCTCTGCAGCACATGCGCCGCACCGCAGAGCTTGTGCCAGGGACGTCCTTTCCACAATGGACGGCGCTCGTGTGGACGACCACGCCCGGTGGTCTTTTCGCGCAAGCAAACATGCGAGGCGGGATTGACTTCATCCAGCTTCCATCCGCAGTTCTTGGCGTTTCAGAGCGTCGATGGTCTGTCCACAGCGACGGGCTCGAGATGGAGATGGAGACAATGTGTATGGATCCATCACAGGACGTTGTTGTCGTGACAGGGTGGGATCGGGTGCCCAACAGACCACAGTAGGCAGTGTCTTCATTGGCCTTGTGCGTGTGTTTGACGAAGAGACAGGGGCCGATATCCGGCACTTCGTATCCTGTCATTTACAGATGGGAAATCCCATCGTCTTGCTGCTCGCAGTGAGATCAACCTGTCAGATGCAGGCAGATATGATGAGAAAGACGATGTCGAAGAAAACCGCAGGGAAGGACGGCAAACTCGTCTAGAAGGCGACTATGTAGCGCATCTTGGCTCTTGGGACCATGAATATGCGATTCTGGTGTGGGATTGGAAGACGGGTGATTTGCTTTGGGAAAGTATCGTATATCGTGCATGTATATGGACTCTACCTAACACCGTGATCACACAGCATCTACAAAAAGATCCAGAAGAAGAACCAGAATATAAATACAATTCCTTTGACTTCATCGACAGCCGGCATCTACTTGCGACGGAGGACAATGGCATTGATATCTTCGTGCTAGACCGACCAAGCACATACACTGGGGTTCCAGTCTTCATTCGAGGTGCTCTCTGCCTGTGGGATTATCCTATACGTAAAGGGCAATCATTCACTCTGCCCCAGCTCATGTCAACGCACAAAGGCGGATGCTCGCAGAGGAATCCAGCTCAACCATTCTACTCGTCCCCACATCGTGGTCTCGTTGCTGTCGCCTGTTACGGCGCGCCGTTGAGCGCCGGTGACTCGGACTCCATCTGGACGGAAGTGATTTTGGTGCCTGCGTCCATGGTCCGGGAGTGGAGTCTGCGTGCACAGGCCGACGAAGAAGACGAGGCCAAATTTATGGGAAGTAATGGGCTCGTTGAATGGGCATACTGGGCACCATACTACCCGAGAATGCGGCGCACCGGCAGGCCGTTCTCCGCAGAGGTGCAGGGCATGCATGCGACCGTCGCCAACGTCGAAGGGGACAAACTTGTGCTGGATCATATCGACTACACCGTCGTCGGAGGTAAAGAAGCGGAATTTGATTTCAAGACCCACCCTGGCCGTGGGGATGAGTGGGATGCAGGGAATGAGCTGTGTGTCATCCCTGAGGACAGTGAAGGCGTCCATTCAGCATACGCCGAGGCTCGGCCGTTAATTCAGGGCTTTCCACAGTATCTAGTCATCCTCCCAGATTATGCAATCTTGCAGGAGGTACGTGATGTCGCTCATGCACTCTGAACGGTGCTCACATATAACGATCAGTACAAGGATGATAATGGGGACCATCAGTGGCAAATTTATCATATCGTCGCCTCTGATTCCAGTGGTTCGTGAAGTGGATAGAGAGAGCGTATGCACCAGCAAACGGACTACACAATTGCAGAACGCCATGCTAATCGTCCAAAGCTTTCCGCCATTACGCCATTCACTAGTTGTCTGTTCTATCGTGAAACCGTTCAATGTCTATCTCGATTTCATATACATCCATCCAAAATTATTAAATAAGTCAGATATCATAAAATCCAGGGAATCCGAAGCAAGGTCGTCGAAGGGTTTCCAGCGTTCGGTCCTATTGTCCTTGCCACCAAGTTAACCATTTACTCGTCCTTGTTCCATCTGCATTGCTCCCCTTCATCAGTAGCGGCGTCTCCTCGTTCGCACCCTCAACCCTGACGTCAGTCTCAACGGCAGCTCCCGGCGCGGTCAGGATGGCCACGCCTTCCTCAGGCCCTTGGGTCACAGTCACCGGTGATCCCGTGCTGCCGTCAACGACAGAGGATGGCTCGAGGGGGTTACCGAAGTCGTCGACTCGTAGGCGGTGCTGGCGCGCGCGCCAGCAGAGACACATGATGAGCAGCGAGCCCTGCAGCACGCCAGCGACAGCATATGGGAGCCATGCTATATTGCGTGATAAGGATCGTATTAATATGGAACACCCATCGATGTGCTTGACACTCACTGGTCCAATTTGTTCCCGGTCTGCGATACATGCCTGAGCAATGTATGAAGCGTGAAAGATCAATATTGCTTACCTGAGAGCGATACTGAGGACCATGAACACTGCACCGGGGCTTTGTATAAGCATCATTGGTATGCTTAGTGCCCCTACGAGTCGAAGGCGATATGTGTGAATGATCTGCGGAGCATACTGTAGCGCAGCAAGTAGGGCAGATGCGACACCTAGGAACGTTGCCCAGATGGAAATTTGCGCAGAGCGTCGCGAGCCGTCAGGCGTAGGACCGGTCGTTAGAAGGAGGAAGGTGACAAAGGTTATGAAGGAGCTAAGACAGCGGATACCAGCCAGAAGGTCAGCGGATACAGGATGAAGAGACAAGTGCGACATACATGTGGAGGAAAACGACCCAGGAGAGAATAATCGAGAGGCGCCAGGTGTCACTCTTAACGTGTGTCTTGATGAGCTGCGGCGAGCGGTTGTCGTGCAAGTCTACGGCTACTTCCGTATACTTGAGATGTGGTGGATAATAGATCATGTAAAGTACCAGTCTAGTGGAGAAACCGTCAGGAGACGCCTCAACGAGTTTTCCATACGATCTACTCACACTAAGGTGAAGAGGAGCCACTGAAGTGCAAGCTGAAAGATGCCAGCCGTGGATTCAATACAGCTTCCGAAGCTCTATGGTTAAATTAAGTTGTCCACCATCTCGAGCGAAATGAGTGTAGTATTTACCACTACTTTACAGCACTTAATGAGACCCCATTGCATCACAACGCTGTGAAACATTATGTGAAGCTGTTGATACAAAAAAGATAATCACAGATCTCACATGTTCAACATCCCCGACGCAGAGGAAGTGCTACCGAGCAAGAGGAACCATGGACTGAAACCTTCCGACGATCCCGCCTTGATGATGCGTAGATGCTATTTGGACGTCGAGCATCATGTAAGGACGAGAACGTATTGTGAGTAGACAGAGCACGTAAGAGCAGGAGAACATACCTGGGGTAAGTAAGATACAGCCAGACCAAGGCAGAGCAGAGCGGTTAGGACATTGGCGGTATAATCATGGTGCTAGTCAGACGTTCAGTCAGCACGACTGAATCAATACGATTCTTCAAACATACTGGGACACACTCATCGGACATGTAAACTTGGCCCCTGTGGTGATCTAAGTGTTAAGTGCGTACCTCGCTGTCGACGCGAGGATCTCAGCGCCAATGCGCGGCGCGTCCAGATCAGGTGACCTTTGAGACCATCAGGAATGGATCCGCTGTATCATGAGTTACGGTTCATACCAGGTGCATGGTATCCATTCGATTAGAATCCTAGAGCTAGAAGCTGGTATTCGAATCAAAGGAAGAAATCAAGCTCGTAATTGTACAATAGTTGATTCTGAAGCTGACATCACTAGTTATGTGGAACATATTGAGACCTCGCGCACACCGATATCAGTCTCCTTCTCTAGCTTCTCATCTGACCCAACATCTGGGTGATCGACATATAGGCTATCCCGCAGATCAGCAGACTCATCTACCTCTTTGAACGTGCGAGAAGCATCATGGGTAGGGAAGAGAAGGTTAAGGGCCCAATAAACCACTGCCGATACACTGATACCGGTGAAGAAGGACATTGAATAAATGCGGGTTGCTGCTAACGGTACATCACGCCCCGCTGATAAAAACAGCATTTCAGTCTTCATTAATGTCAACGTGAGCACACCATAGGAACTTACTCGCTCCTGCAAATCCCACGACATTGATGAGGATGCCAGCGACGTACGCCGCGTACGCTCTAGCCGTGCAAGAATTAGCCAGACATGGAAATTTCGGTACCTGATGTATTTACCGTATGTTGAAACCACGGGAATATTTATACCAGCCATCATTATCCGTGTGGTAGAGGTCCTTGACGCGGTAATGACCCTTATGGATCACATAGTAATCTGTGATCTTTTCGCACTAATGTCAACAGCCGACACTAAAAGCACTACCGCCGCCAAACTGACCATCACACCGGCGATGGCGCTCAGGAAGATCGTGTAAGCAGAAAGGTATGTCGTGAAGTTGTTGCTACTTTTGAGCAAATTCCAAGGGCACATGCAAAGCCCAACGACGGCCGCGATGTATCCACCACGACGGATATTCTAGAGTGAGAGGACCATCATATCTATGAATGGAGTGGTCAAGTGGACAGCTTACTATGAATCGTGGAAATAGCGCTGTAAGATCGCATCCTGCACTGATTGAGTTGGCCGAAATGTTCGTTCTGTTGGAAAATTAGAAACATAGTCGATGATGTACTTTATGAGCCATTGACCCAACCTGATGCCAGCATTGTTGTATCAGTTCTGTCAAATATGCCGATAGAGAATTAGAATACTCACTGTCGCAAGGGCAAAAGCGGCTGCTATGAACCACACTCCAAAACGTGTAGCGTGGGTGGGCGAACCATCCAAGAACCTCCCAAGGAGGTCCATGGGAGACCAGATAGCTTCCCCATAGATGGCCTGTGAAGACGAACTGACTATGATTCCAATGAAACTGACGAGGGCGAAGACTATTGGAATTGATAGCATCTGTGACATCACTGCATCCGAAGGCCTCCGCGCACGCGAACCGAAGTCGGGTGCATTTCTGTGGGACGTGACACTGAGCTTATTGGGCTGAGAGCGACAAATGAGGACTTACGTGATGATTGTAGACTGGGAGTTGATGCACGACGTGATGCTGGCCACCATTGCCCACCCCAGAGGGGAACCATGGATCGTGGCAGGCTGGTGGACAATCGGGCCCACACCGCGCGCTTTGATGATACACCAAATAAAGAAGGTTATTCCTGCGATCGGAACTATGATTGATTTGACAGTGAATAAGTGCCGGCTATCATCGGAGCCAAGGTCAGTGGTAGTGCGCCTAATATCTAGAATAACATACACCTGGTGTATGGGCAACCAGATAGCCGGAAGCGAGACAAGCCAGAACAGGAAGAAACACATGAAGTCGCGAGTGGTAGTCCCTGAAGAAGGTGGTAAGGTATTGGCTGGATAAGATGTTCGTGAGTTCCGTGTGCGATGTAGTAGGTGCCGATCGACTGACGGATGTTCTGAACACTCGGCCACATCGCTCGCAGCATGACGAGGACGCATTCGCCGCCAATGCTTGTCTGCACACCATACCAAATACTGTGGATGCCATGTTTGAATGCTCCACAATACATAGGACAAAAGTACCACTTACCATGCCATAGCTGCTCGATTAAAGACGCACCAGAGGCTTCCCCATATCCCAAAGCTTGCACGGGCCACCACCGGAAAGGTGATGTGAAAGACTGCACCGGGTCGGCCATTTAAAACGATATATGGCGCAGCGAGCCCATTTCCGATGCATACACATATCCACGCTTGCCACCAAGACAAGCCGAGCTGGATCATCGAGGACGTTATCATCCATCTTGACGGGGTGTCAGAACATGATCATATGCGTATGTTTCGTAGGGTACTTACGTGTTTACATTGAAGCTAGTGGCAACCCAGCTGGATAGATCGATATCAGGACCGCAGAATGCACAAATCAAGGATGATCGGGAAACATACAATGACCAGAAGTTGTTTGCTTTCCATTTTCGTCTCTCGATTGGAACAGGTCGTAGGTCCTCGTTCTGTGGAACGGCATAGTTGTGATTTTAGTATGTGGGATGTCATTAAGCACTCACAATTAAGAAAGATTCCGTGTATGTAAGTTCATGTTTGCGTTGAACCTCAACGAACTTTATAATACGGCTTCCGAGTCTTGTTGCAACATCCATGTCTTTGGATAGTGAAGTCGACAGGGATTGTGTCGTAACGGGCTGGCTTTATCGCTCCTTCGAGGCCTTCGATAATCATAGGGTTCATCATATCGATTGGAGTGCCTGTGTGTCAAGGAGATAGAAGCAAAGTGAAGGGAAGGTGCTCAGAAAGCTTCCTTGAAGTAGATAGCAGCCGTGAAATGGTCTAGAAATGTGGAGATAGAGTAATGCGGATGATGTTCTCGCATTGCAATTCCCTATAATATCCACCATCCAGCATTATAGAGATCTGCTGACACTCAGGCACTATTGGTGTGCTGTAATGCGAATCTAGCGATTCGATGCTTAGAAACCGGGCCTTCAAGACGGCAGAACTCGATGTCAGCTCGATCCATTACTGCAGTACTGACGAACAGTCCAATGCCAGAGCGTAATTTGGCTGTTCGTGATAATAGGGTAAGCGTCAGTGGTGCATCATGTGGACTTCGGAATTGAGATGAACATAGATATACCAATACATGAGTCGGACTACTTATGTGGAGGCAATTAAGCCGACGCCGCTAGCAGCTAAAAATGGCTGAAGGACAGCGTGTTGTTAGCCTAGGGTAGACAGACGGGTTCGAGAGACATCGGTACTGGCAGAGGTCAGTTATGTGACCGTTCAGCAGATACTAGCGCAGGGAATCCTAAAATACATGAAGGCCATGTGCGACGTTCATGTAACATGTTCGGGGGCGAGTCCATTTCGCATGAGTCGATTTGTTACTCACGTGATCGTGTTCACGCGTCGTATCGTCAGCGCGTCTCCGATCCTGACTCGGACTCTGCGTCTACTCGTGAGCGATCAAGGTACTCTGGCTCTCATATACCTGTCTCCCCTCGTGCATTGAATCCAGACATAATTCTGAGCACCGGTGATAGTATTCTCCCATACGCGGTGGTTTGAGTGTTGGGAGCATGTGGTGCAGCTACCCGTCTCTTGGATAGCTGGAGCCATAATTGAGAATACAGCTAGTAGCGCACGGTCCATAAGGACGTGCCCCGAGAGCGTCCGCACTACGCTTCATGTAGGCGATCAGATATTCCCGTACACAATAATGGTAATTCAAGATATCGCATTGGCTGAAGTCTTGAGCACATTTCTTACAGTTGAGGAAAACATAATCCCGCAGCTCTCCCACCCAATCCTTCGTCAGGCACTTGTTATCCATGATAAAAGTGCGTGCGACGCGTCCGCATTCTCGGTGGTATTCGAGAAGGCACTGGTGCGCCCCGGCCGTAGCGCAGCGCATTTCTGGCACATATGTAATAGAATGCAGAGGATGGCGTAAGGTATATTTGGCGGCCATTCGAGCGACGTCCTCCAACTCGTATGCACAGGCAAGAGTGTATACGCGCATGGTGTGATTTTCGAGCGCATCGGCAGAGAGAAGCGCTTGGCTGACGACGCTGCGCACTCCGTCCATCTGGTACTTCCTGGCGGCCTCGATCAGAGGCCATATGTAGTCGATGCCTTCTGGCGGTGCGAATGCGGTGGCAGCGTAACACCCACGCATAAGCTGCTCCCAGACGGCGGCGGGTTCTGTGACTTCGACGATGGGCTTGCCTGTCTCAACGGTGCCCTTGTCAGAGGCATTGGGTCCCTGAGGTAAGGTGAACATAAGTCGGAAGAATGCGGACGCCTTTGAGAGGATGAACCTGTCGACATAGAAATCGACGGCATCGGAAGTGCGGATGATGACGTCCGTGTTGGTGGCATCGTCAAACGGTTCTGCTGCTGTTCATATTGCTAGACTGTCGCTTGGCATGCCGCTTTTCAGTGTGTTTCAAAACTCTCCGTTCTGTAAGGAGCGCGGTGATGGAGAGTGAGACTAAGGGCGGCCAGCATCGGGGCGCCGTGATAAAAGTGGAGTTCACTTCACTCAGAGTAACATAGGCCGTTGCAAGTGCACGTCTAGTCATCTTTCTATCATTGACAAAGGTACTTTTGTAGGCGACGACTCGACGTCAGCTTTGGCGAACACGGTGCTGTACATAATGCTGAACTGTAGCGGAAGTACTCTGCCCCTCAAGTCAGCGCCGCGGCCTGATTTCCCCAGGTGTCTGCCGACTGCCCGGGAACGCACAGTATGAATGTACCGCATGTGGGAAAGAAGCATGTCTTGGCGACGCAGGACGAGAAGTTCTCAATCCACAAGGTTTCCTGCAGGAGTGCAGCAGCCCGGACCGGACGTATTGACTCCGAGCGTGCAGTTCTGATCTTCCTTCCTTTGTTCTTGGACGGCGTGGTCACCCCTGTTGCCATAAAAGCGACGACCATACCTCCTCATAAATTTTCAGTGCCAGTCGTCAATCCCTCGCTGAAGCTCTGACCAGCTATGGCTACACATATCATTACGGATCTGCCCGTCGAGCTCCTCGTGATGATCTTCTTCTTTCTCGATGCTCGCGATCTGATCAACTGTAAACAAGTGAGTAGTGTCGAAACAGTGGATTAGTCTAAAGCTGATCGTATACATGTTTGTAAGGTGTGCCAAATGTTCCTACAACTTATACGCGACTCCACTGTGCTGCAATATTTCTATGAACTGGAGCTTGCGGGCATGACCGACGAGCCCTTGTGCCCGCTTCCTTACGTGGAGAGACTGCGAAAATTACGGTCTCTGCAGCACATGCGCCGCACCGCAGAGCTTGTGCCAGGGACGTCCTTTCCACAATGGACGGCGCTCGCGTGGACGACCGCGCCTGGTGGTCTTTTCGCGCAAGCAAACATGCGAGGCGGGATTGATTTTATCCAGCTTCCATCCGCAGCTCTTGGCGTTTCAGAGCGTCGATGGTCTATCCACAGCGAGAGCCTGGAGATGGAAATGGAAATGGGGACAATGTGTATGGATCCATCGCAGGACGTCATTGTCGTGACAGGGTGGGATCAGGTGCCCGACGGACCACAGTAGGCAATGTTTTGATCAGCCTTGTGCGTGTGTTTGACGAAGAGACAGGGGCCGATATCCGGCACTTCGTATCCTGTCATTTACAGATGGGCAACCCCATCGTCTTGCTGCTCGCAGTGAGATCATCCTTTCAGACATGGGCAGATATGATGAATCAGAGGGAGTCGGAGAATATCGCAGGGAAGGACGGCAAACTCGTCTAGAGGGCGACTACGTAGCGCATCTTGGTTCTTGGAGCAATGAATATGCGATTCTGGTGTGGGATTGGAAGACGGGCGATTTGCTTTGGGAAAGTATCGTATGTCGTGCATGTATGTGGACCTTACCTGACATCGTGATCACACAGCATCTACAACAAACAACTCCAGAAAATAAATACAGAACCTTTGACTTCGTCGACAGTCGGCATCTACTTGTGGTGGACTACGAAACCATTGATATCTTCGTGCTAGACCGACCAAGCACATACACTGGGGTTCCAGTCTTGATTCGAGGTTCTCTCTGCATGTGGGAGTATCCTATACGTGGAGGACAATCATTCACTTGGAACCAGCTCATGTCAACGCACAAAGGCGGATGCTCGCAGAGGAACCCGGCTCATCCATTCTACTCGTCCCCACAGCGTGGTCTCGTTGCCGTCGTCTGTTTGGGAGCGCCATATAACCACGATGAGGACATGTGGACGGAGGTGATTTTGGTACCTGCGTCCATGATCCGGGAGTGGGCTCTGCGCGCACAGACTGGCGCACAAGACGAGGACACCTTTCGTGTCGGGGATTCTGGGCTTGTTGAATGGGCACACTGGGCACCATACTACCCGAGAATAATCCGCAACGGCAGGCTGTCCGCCGCAGAGGTACAGGGAATGCATGCGACATTCGCCACGATCGACGAAGAACTTGTGCTGGATCATATTGACTACACCGCCGTCGGAGGTAAAGAAGTGGAATTTGATTTCGACACCTTCCGTGACCTTGGGGATGAGTGGGATAAAGGGGGCAAGCTATGTGTCATCCCTGAGGACAGTGAGGGCGTCCATTCAGCATACGCCGAGGCTCGGCCGATAGTTGAGGGCTTTCCACAGTATCTAGTCATCCTTCCAGATTTTGCAATCTTGCAGGAGGTAAGTGATGTCGCTCATGCAGCTTGAATGGTGCTCACATATAACGTTTAGTATGATGATGATGATGGGAACACCCAGTGGCAGATTCATCATATCGTCGCCTCTGAGTCCGGTGATTCGTGAGCCGGGTAGAGAGAGCTGCGGACATGTACTTGGCTCGCTCATCTAGGTAGCATCCTCGTATACCACAGAAGAACGTGTCAGCGACAAGAAGAAAAAGCTGTGACGGTAGTCGAGGGCGTGTCACAGAGTGAGAAAATAGCTCTTGTTGTAATACTATTATACAGTGTATATTGCGCCCTATAGAACGTCGAGTGGTCTCTCCGAAGTGGCGGTGCTGCGGCTTAATATTTGGCAGCGTCGCATCTCATTAGTGGAGACTGCTAATAATATCAATGGCTTTCAACTTGGCCAGCACTGTACAACGGCTTCACCATAAACATGTTCTGATGCAAACTTACGTCCGTTTGATGATACTCAGGCACTTCTACTCAGGTTCCATGCTGAGGAGAAGTATCAGTGTTGCGCAAATCATAGACTCTGTATTCATAGTACCCCTTGCAGAACTCCATAATCTGCTCGAATGACTAGGTCTCCCCGCATTGGCTGTACTGTGCGGCGTATCTCGACGCTTTCAGGAGGGATGATAGATAGTATTTCCTTCTCCCACTCTCAAGCGTACTTGACATGGAAAGGGAGTTTACATAGATTTTGTGTAACGGCTCTCAATGAAGTCGACGAGAAGCTGGAGGTCACCCTCAGGCTTCCTGGCCGGGGCCCGTAAGCAAGCGAGCCATTGTTACACATAGATAACCACGTGCTTATCTCGCGATGGACCACGTCATGTAACCAGGAAAGGGTGTCTCAGCCACTGCCTTTCGTCTCGTACATACCACGAGGTGTCGACTGGCAGTGCCCACACATTTCTCCCCACCGCTGCACTCTGCAGCACGTTCGCTGTGACGGGCACCCTCCGTTCGCGTCGACATTTTGAAATGACTCTCACCATCCTTGTTTCTTTTTCTCTCCTCGCGCTGGTCGTCACTGCCCGTCCCATTGTCCCGCGCAATGCTCCGCAATTGTGCGTAGCGCTGCGCTTGCGACGTCATATCATATCGCTGACATCTGTCTCTGACTTTGCAGAGCGGAACCATCCAGAGACGTGCGAAATGCCGTACAGGCGATCTTCCGTTCTCGCACAGGGTGCGTTTCCCTGGCAGCGTATTTCCTATCGCGCTCATGCTCTTCCTAGACATCCCCCCGATTGCCTGACCTGCGACGACAAGGACGTCCGCATCCACGTTTCGTCGCCTAAGGAGCAAAACACCGTCCTCTCGGACCTTGCGGGACTTGATGCTGTTAAGGCAATACTACCCCTCGGCCCGAACGACGAGCCCACCGAAAGCGAGAAGCAGCTATACGATCTTCTCAACAAGCAGCAGACCGCTAGCCTCAACGACCTGGACGGCGGGGAACGCACGCCGCGGCTATCTAATGGCGAACTCGTAGCGGAGGATCTGCTCGCTGCGGAAGACTCGCCCTCGCAGCCCGACGTAGTCCCGCCAATGATCTCTCAACGCCCGTCCGTAACGCCCCCGCTTCTGGTTCTCGCATTCTCCGCGATTGCATCGCTGCTGGTGCTCATGTGCGTAGTCACGGCCGTGTACATCACCAAGCAGATCCGCGCACAGCTGATGCGCTCGGACATGATCTGGAATGTCTTGCCGAAGCTGGAGAAGGGCATCTCTCTCGAGGGCGATGCGCCGAGCAACGAAGATGGGAGCGAGAAAGACGGGGGTGTATTGCTTCTCGAGAAGGGCGACCTCATCGATTTTGACGGAACGCTCGCCATCGTGCCAATGCCCGGTGGGCTTGGAAGACTCGCTCCGCTGCATTACGCCTCGGACACAGATTCTGAGGCTGAAGATTACGACGAGAAGTTTGCTGATGCCGAGGACTCGCTCTTGCTTGGTGCTCCTGCAGAGGAGAGGCACCCGCTGCCTACCATTGTCACTGAACACCCCGATCCAGAACTCATGCCGTTACCTGCATCGCCTACCCCATGGTCCACGCCAGAAGCCCCGCCACCGCGCAGTCTGGCATCCTCGCCACTCATGCGACCCGTGCAGATGCGCGAGCGCCCCGCTTCGCCCGTGTCAAGACCAGCCTGGTCTTTGCGTGCGGCAGACGCGCCCGCGCTAGGCCTGAGCACCTCGATGCCGACGATCCCTGGGGCGCTATACCCCGAAGCCCTCACCGCGGACAGTCTGCCCCCCTCCGGGGCCGTGGAGATGGCGGAGGTGCCGGGGAGGCAGCGGGCATACCGTGCGCCTGTGCCCGAGCTGGACATTGCGTTTGCGCTGCAATTGCGGCCTGGGCTCGGGCTTGGTGCAGATCCGGCGTGGCTGGTGCGGTTCCTGATGGCGATGTTCGGGTGGATGACCGTGTTGATTGGTGGTGGTGGCGGCGGGGGGCGGAGGGAGACGGTGCAGAGGATTTGAGTGAGGAGCGACATTATGCTGGTTGGAGGAGGAACGAGAGTGGCATGGAGGGAATGAGAGCATAGGAATGCGAGGATGCGATACCGTTGCCATGAGGCTGGGAAGCCGGGGCTTTGATATTGGGCGACGCTGCTCGCCGGACTGGAACTACTATCATCATATGGATCTCCCCCTTCATTTTCATCACTATCCCACTGCCATACTCATTTTCATCCCACGTTGTCTTATACGGAATCATCTTCACTGCGTCGTTGGCGTAGTCCCTAGTTGTTCTGTTGCTGGAATTATAATGTCCTGTTGACTTCCAACCTCACGCGGGTATGAGAATAGCGCATAGCATTTACAGTATGTATGCTCATTACTAAGTAGTTGACGTAGAAAACGCGTATGAGCTCCCAGCGAACAACGGCATATATCACGTGTTGGAGGCGTTCTCGAGACGGCGCTTGCCGGATGTTCGCAGTTCTCCCTTGCTCTCACCGCCGCTGGTACCAATAATAGTGATCCTGCTCTGCAGATCCAGAGCGAATGACCATTTCCACTTCACTGTGGAAGTCTGGAAACTCCCTTAAGGCTTGAGCTTGAGGCTTGATTATTTGAAGCCCGCGCCCGAGAGAGTATCGAAGCTACACTCGGACTTCTCACTTGTATTCGTGCGGGACCACGACATTGTAAGCACCAGTTGTCTGACTTTCTATGTGGTGTCTCATACTCCTCGCCTGCACGACCGCGCTCCCAGGATTACTCTGTAGGATGCCCCCACGCACGTCCTCGAAGGCGCGGCAGAACTCCTTCTGCCCCGCCGCCGACGCCGCGACATACCGCGACCTGCTGCTCTTTGAGGAGCGTCTCAAGACGAACGCAGCGTCGCTCACCCGCCGCAAGCACCGCTACGAACGTGCGTCCTGCTCGCCCCTTCCGGATCCTGTATCTGAGCCGTAACTCACCTCCACCTACCCAATGTCCACCCCCGCCCCCGCCTCCGTCCATTCCGCCACCTTCCTCCCGCGACGACCGACACCCTTCCCCTCGTAGTGTTTCTTGCCCAGCTCCTCGCGATAATCGCCTTCCTACTCTGCGAGGTGCTCCTCCAGACCGACTTCCTCGCGGTGCCCCTGGCGCTCGCCCTGCGCACGCTCGCGCCCGCGCGGTGCCCGCCCGGGGCGCCCGTGCGCGTGCATCCGTACATCGCGTCGGGGCTGCTCTTTGTCTCCGTCACGACGCTCGTGCTGTTCTTCGCGACGGGCATGTACACGGAGAAGATCGGCTACGCGAATCGGTGGGTGCCTTGCTTCGCCGTGGCCTTCTTTGGGCGCCGGACTCGGGCGTTATGTGGCTTTGCTGCGTTCGTTTTCTGAGCTTCGTGTGGGCGCGCGTGTCGCGTGTGGTCCAGACCTGCTGGCGGTGAGGCTCGGAGGTCAGGGAGCTGTGCTTGGCGCAGGGTACGCATACTGCTCGTCACACTGGCTGATGCACGTTGGGAGCAACACGCCCATGACAGCATGAGGCATGAGCTTGGCAAAGTGCTGCATGACTGTTGCCCAGATATATGTGGATGGCGAAAGCCCGGCGACCTGCAATGTCCGGCCTTCATTTTGACATCCTTCTACATGCGATCAAGTACTAAAATGCACGGAACCGATTGCAGGTACGTCCCGCACGCGAATCGTGCTCTGCGGAGCTTCAACATGTACCTCAATGTCCGCCAACCGCCGCTCCGCACCAAGCTGCCCTTCAATCCGCTCGCACTGCTGTTCCCGCGCACGCCCTCCGCCCCCCCGCCGCCCGCATCCGGGCGCGCGCTGTCCCCAGAGCGCACGAGGAAGCGCAACTCGTCTGTGCCGATCCCGCCGATCCCGCCGGCGTCGAATCCGCGCGGGGAGCTCATCTTCTCGTCGCGCGTCGAGCGCGCGTTCCGCGAGGCGTACGAGCGCTACCGCGGCGCGTTCGAGCGGCGGCGGGAGGAGCGCGAGCGGGCGGCGCATGCGGCGACGTGGACTGGCTGGCTGGCCGTGCGGCTGCGGCTCCCGTGGGCGCAAGCACCGGCACCGGCACCGGTGCAGCAGGTGGCGGCTGCGGGGGGCGTGTCGAAATTGGTGGGCGGAAAGGTGGGGAGCGCGAGGGCGTCGCCGGCAGGGTCGAGGCAGGGGAGTCCGGGGCCCAGTCTGGTGCCGGGGCGGAAGACGAGGAGAGCGTCGCCTGTGGGGACGTCGCACCCGCTGGCGGCGAGTGTGCGGGGGGAAGTGGCGTAGCCGGCGCAGGAATCTCGTTTGGGTTTGGGACGGAGTCCACGACGCGTTTGTGTATATTACCAAGCTGTGGCTGTAGAATAACTGACGTGAAGGCTTCGTTGACGACGAAGCTGTCTAAAATTAAAGTAATTGGGGAGCTATGTATCTGATGCGGTATGGGGCAGACAAAGGAACATGGGATCACGATGAAGCGTTTGCGGCAGGGCGGCTGCATATGGTGAGCCCTGGATTCGCGCGCCACAAGGACAGATGGAAGGTATAACCGCGTTGAAACGGCGCCACTCGCATGACACCGCCGCTGGTGGGGTCAACATGGATGGATATACAAGGCTAGAGGGACAGATGAACCGAAACGAAGGATCCATAGCAGGCCGGCTGGCAGCCGGATCTGATCGAGCGAAGAGCCCGAGATAAATGCCGGAGAGGTAACACCGGCGCCTGCAGAATAGGATGCCGCGAAGGATCACCGATGAGCGGCCGGCTGGCCGGGATGCGTCCGTTGGGATTCCCCGCACGCGAGGTCTTTCCTGCCTGAAAAAGGCGACGGCGTGTGTGTGTGTACCCGTTTCTCATGCATCATGGCCGAGGGTGAAATGCAGCGGCATGGCGATGTGCGCAGCCGACGAATATGCGGGCTCGCACGGTGGGCGACTCTGCGGACGTGCTCCCGCGCGACGGGAGGTGAAGCGAGGACGGCGGGGACGGTGGCGGGCATCTGTGGGCCGTCGCTGTCACGGTAGAAGACGACGACGTGCGGCGGATTCACTTGCTCGGGTCGAGTGCTCGGGAGACGCCCATGTAACATCATTGATATTCAGCCGCGATGTTCGCTGCTGCCCTCCAATGATGTCTTCTCGCCCCCGCCCAGAGCCTTGCGCTCCCACCGTCCGTCTTTCCCTTTACTCCTCTCCCTCCCCCGCTGCCGATTCGGGCATGTCTCTCGCGACGTCCGACTCCAGCTTCACCCCCTCCAAGGAACTCGACCACAACCTCCCCGATTCAGCTCATGCAGAGAAAGCCCAGTCACAGGACTGGTCCGAGCCCCCAGATGGCGGCGTGGTGGCGTGGTTGACCATCGCTGGCGCGTCAGTCCCTCGCGTTAGTCCAATCCAACATCACAATCTGACCTTTGCTCCAGATGGTTTGTGCAGTTTGCGACCTTCGGGTGAGTGGCAAGCAGTCACAGTCTTGCATGCGTGAGGGGTTGTGTGTCGGTGTGGCGCAAGCGTACTACTGCTTTTCCTCGGTATCTCTGACGACGATGGCCATGGTGATGATACGCCTTGCGCATGCGACATCACACAGAGACTTGGTCCCTGGGTCGGCGCGCCCCAGCAAACAACATAAACGACCCACAGACCAACGTAGAGAGTCAACAGCCATGATATTTTTGTTTCAAGCCCTTTCGAAATCCGTATGCACTGTACCCGACAAATGTCGGCCCTCATCCCTACTCAGCGGCACGCTCGTGCCAAAGTGGGGGCGAGTGCCGAGTGCGGGTAGACCACGAGTGCAACGGCGGCGTCTGCGACGGTCGTCCTGCGGCTCGTTTCGCAACCTCATCAAGTCGTGTCTGATGTCTCGTGTATCGAGTGCTCACACCCATTAAACAGCTACATCGGCGCGTTCGGCGTGTATCAAGGTGCGCAGACAGTTCTCGTACTCTCGTATGACTGCTGATAGCTCCGTTAGACTACTATACCACGCATTTCCTGACCCAGCAGACAGCCTCCAACGTCAGGTACAGTAGCGTCTCGCGCGTCTGCTCCCACGCGCCGCTCATCGCGCGACCCAACAGTTGGATAGGCAGTCTCCAGCTCTGCCTCATGTACGCCCCTGGTGTCTTTGTCGGGCGGGCGTTCGACGCGGGTCTTTTGTAAGCACGCTCATCTGATCCATTATTATCATTTCGCGTATCTCACGCATCTCAGCCACCACCTTGAGATCATCGGCTCGCTCCTCTACGTGCTCTGTATCTTTCTGCTGTCGCTGGCCAAGCCCGAACAATATTACCAGGTGCGCCTCGTCCCCTCCTCGGCCCTTCGTCCCGTTGAACCTCACGCCCCACGCCCCCCAGGTCTTCCTCGCACAGGCTGTCGGCATGGGCGTTGGCCTCGGCATGACCTTCCTCCCCTCGCTCAGCATCGTCGCGCACCACTTCCGCCGCCGCCGCGCCCTCGCAACCGGCATCGTCGTCAGCGGCGCGTCCGCAGGCGGAATCGTGTTCCCGATCATGCTCAACCACCTGCTCAGCGACACCCGCGTCGGCTTCGGCAACGCCGTGCGTGCGAGCGGCGCCGTCGTCGGCGCGGCGCTGCTCGTCGGAAACTGCCTGATGCGCACGCGCCGGCCGCCCGCGAAGACGGACGGGGCGCACGCGCGTCTGCGCTGGACGGAGATGCGCGACGTCGTGTGGGACGGCGCGTACCTGTGGTCGATCATGGGGTGAGTGCCAAATGACCCCGCGCCCTTCGCGGCCCCGCGGGGGGCACGGGGTGTGTATACATGTATGTGCTGACCATGCGGGCCGGCAGGGCATTCTTCACGAACCTGGGCGCGTACGTGCCGTGTGAGTATGTGTGCTTGTGGATGCGCGGGCGTCTGGTGCTGACTCGGCCGCGGGCACACTAGTGTTCTATCTGCAGCTGTTCGCGGCGGACCACGGTGTGGACGTGCGGATCACGACGTACTGTGTGAGTGCTGCTCCGTGCGGGGCCCCGCCTGCGTGCGGGCCCGCGCTGGCGTCCTCCTGCTCCTGCCTTGTGTGCGTGTTGCGCGGGTTTTGCTGACCTCATCGCGCGGCTCCGCAGCTGGCCATGCTGAACGCGGGGAGCATCGTGGGCCGCCTGCTGCCGACGTTCCTCGCAGACCGCCTCGGCGTGTACAACATGCTGCTGCCGGCGATCGGGATGTGCGCGGCGCTCATCTTTGCGGTCTTCGGCGCGACGAACCCGGCGGGCGTCGTGCTCGTCGCGGTGCTCTTCGGCTTTGCGTCCGGCGCGTGTACGTCCGCCCCGCCCCCCTCTCACGCGTGCTGGTGCTGAATGTGACCGTGACGCAGACATCTCGCTCATCCCCTCGCTGCTCGTCTCGCTGTGTCGGAATTTCGGCGAACTGGGGTGCGTGCGCGTCTTTGTCTTTGTCTGCATGCGGCGCGCTGACGCGGGTGCGTGCGGTGCAGCGTGAAGATGGGCTGCGCGTACACGGTCGTCGCGGCCGCACAGCTGGTCGGCAACCCCATAGCGGGCGCGCTGCTCGGGGGGTCGGCGCCGCTCAAGTGGTGGCGCGCGATCCTGTTTACAGGCGTGAGTGCTCCTCCTATGATTCTGCAGAACGGCAGGCCTGACCCTCGCCCCCCCCCAAAGCTGTGTGCCCTCGTCGGGCTGCTGTGCATGACCGTGTCGCGGACGCTCTTTGTGCGGCGGAAGGGCCGGCAGCGGGTGTAGCCGTGTCTCCCCGCCGGAGCCGATACTTTGCGGACCTGTGGCGTCCACCGTCGTCTCACATTTGTATTACTATCACACCGTCCTTGCGGACTGCTGCACTGGTCCTGCCAGCGCCTGTGCTGGTGCGCCATGGCGCCACCCCCCATGCTATTCCCACGTCGGACGCACGAGTCCTGAGCGCCGCCGCGACCGGCGCGCGCCCGCTCTTTGTTTCGCACCGCATTGCACCTATATTCCCGACGCCACACGCATCTCGCATCTCGCACCGTACGATACCTATTCTCCCGCTACTAGTAATTCGCACCGTGCTGTCCATCGCCTCGCAACGTGTTGTCGGTGTTACGCTGCACACATGTACTGTACTGCGTCCGGTGTTCTGTATGTATGTACTCAGCGGCATTGCATTGGATACACAGAGTGAGCTAATCGGACTCGGATTTGCCTGCCCTCCCGATCGGGCGGAACGTTTGTGCGCGCGACCATCGGACGCAGCCGCCGGCTTGTGCGCACTAGCACTAGTGCGTTTTGCCTGATCGATCGACTCGACGCCGGGGACATGCCATCCCACGCTGTGGCATGGTTGCCGGCAGCGCTGCACACACTGAGACACCGGTAGGCGCAGGCGCCCCCGCAGCCGGCGCAAGGAGCGCGGGGGCGTCGGGGAGGCGGGGAGTGCGCACGCGCGCAAGAAATGGGCGTGCGGGGATGAGTGTCCGAGACGATAGCTGCCGCAGTTCAATCATGGGAAGAGCCTCTGGCCAGTCCTGACCCCGCGAGAGAGCCGCAGAAGCCCACATCGGACGTTCCACGCCCAGAGCTTCGCAGTGGATGCCGCACGGCACTCTGAACACGGAGTGGGAGTCACGCAGATGATCTGGGTGTGCGGTACATGCTGGACACAATTCACTCTACTGCTAGGATAACTCGATGACAGGGGGCGAGACACAGATAATTAATGAATCGTCACCGGCGAGGTACCTCACACCTTACACGACGCAATTGACGCCATCCGCAGCAAACTCGGGGTCGATGCATCTGCACGCGCCGCATCTCGACTCAATCGAGATAAATGTTGCGGGGTACGATGCTTGGTGAAATTCGTGATTGAGTTGTGATCACCAGAGAGTCATCAGCCAAGCTTAAGGCTCGTCATGTGGACAGCATACAGACCCACATCCTCCATTACAGCACTCTTCCTAGGAACATTCACGTTGGTCTTGCTTGAATTATCACACCTCACACCCGTTCTCAGACTGCCTACCACCTTTGTTCCCGAGCCCCGGATCTTCTCCCTTGAGCACATTTCCACGTTCCCCAAAGGACAAAAAGAGCGGTTCACCTGGGTGAGAGCAACAGGTGCCCGCGCGTGACGTATTGAGCGCAGATCACACTCCTCTTTCACCTGAACTCGCATCCGAGCCGAGTGATCAGACATCACGGATATTGCGTGTAGTCCGCCTGAATACCAAAACCATCGCGGGCTCGGAAGCGAATGAGGTAATGGTACATACCGATCCGAGCCCCAAGACTCAGACCACCGTGTATGGTGGAATATCGTCACCGGTGCTCAGATTCGTGTTTGTACTTCAATCCACGAGTGCGAACAGGTATATGAGAGCCAGAGTGTCAATCGCTCACGAGTAGACGCAGAGTCCAAGTCAGGATCGGAGACGCGCTGACGATACGACGCGTGAACACGATCACGTACTTCGCGGATTTCACTGAGTGGTGCGACGTGGAAGCACGCGCGGAGAATCTACTCATCTTGTGGGAGGATCGCGCTCTGGCTCGTGATGCCCAGCTGTCCGCTGCCCCCCCTCCGGACGCCGCTCGTACGGCGTGATGCCTAACGGTCGGAGGGAGCGCCACCTGCCCGCCCCCCATTCTGTTCATTTGCCTCGTTGTCGGACCGCCGACGCGGCGTTCGCTGCGCGAGGACGGCCCCCTGCGCCATTGGCGAGGGGCTCTTGGTCCTTGGTCGACCCGAAACCTGTAGGGCGACGACACCGTGTGATTTGCACTTCACCGTGCCGGTCCGAACGCGGGCGTGGAGCCCACTATTAGGAGCCGCTTATGGCTCGATCTCACTCTGCATGTACCTACGCCGTATGGAGTCTAAACCCGAGGAATTATAAAATGAAATGAAAAAAATAATAATAATAAAAGAGAAAAGAACACGATCACGTGAGTAACAAATCGACTCATGCGCCCCCGAACATGTTACATGAACGTCGCACATGGCCTTCATGTATTTTAGGATTCCCTGCGCTAGTATGTGCTGAACGGTCACATAACTGACCTCTGCCAGTACCGATGTCTCTCGAACCCGTCTGTCTACCCTAGGCTAACAACACGCTGTCCTTCAGCCATTTTTAGCTGCTAGCGGCGTCGGCTTAATTGCCTCCACATAAGTAGTCCGACTCATGTATTGGTATATCTATGTTCATCTCAATTCCGAAGTCCACATGATGCACCACTGACGCTTACCCTATTATCACGAACAGCCAAATTACGCTCTGGCATTGGACTGTTCGTCAGTACTGCAGTAATGGATCGAGCTGACATCGAGTTCTGCCGTCTTGAAGGCCCGTTTTCTAAGCATCGAATCGCTAGATTCGCATTACAGCACACCAATAGTGCCTGAGTGTCAGCAGATCTCTATAATGCTGGATGGTGGATATTATAGGGAATTGCAATGCGAGAACATCATCCGCATTACTCTATCTCCACATTTCTAGACCATTTCACGGCTGCTATCTACTTCAATGAAGCTTTCTGAGCACCTTCCCCTCACTTTGCTTCTATCTCCTTGACACACAGGCATTCCAATCGATATGATGAATCCTATGATTATCGAAGGCCTCGAAGGAGCGATAAAGCCAGCCCGTTACGACACAATCCCTGTCGACTTCACTATCCAAAGACATGGATGTAATTGTGTAGTCCTTTTGCTGATGCATACGCTCTCTCCATCCAGTTCACGAATCATCAGAATCAGAGGCGGCGATATGAAAAATCTGCCACTGATGGTCCCCATCATCATCCTGATACTAAACGTTATATGTGAGCACCGTTCAAAGTGCATGAGTGACATCACATACCTCCTGCAAGATTGCATAATCTGGAAGGATGACTAGATATTGTGGGATGTGCTCGACTATCGGCTGAGCCTCGGCGTATGCTGAATGGACGCCTTCACTGTCCTCAGGGATGACACACAGCTCATTCCCTGCATCCCACTCATCCCCACGGTCAGGGTTGCTGTCGAAATCATATCCCACTTCTTTACCCCCGACGGCGGTGTAGTCGATATGATCCAGCACAAGTTCTTCCCCTTCGACATTGGCGAATGTCGCATGCATGCCCTGTACCTCTGCGGAGAACGGCCTGCCGTTGCGGAACATTCTCGGGTAGTATGGTGCCCATTGTGCCCAATCAACGAGCCCAATACTTCCGACACGAAAGGTGTCATCGTCTTGTACGCCGGTCTGTGTGCGCTGAGCCCACTCCCGGATCATGGACGTAGGCACCAAAATCACTTCCGTCCAGATGTCCGTACCGTCGTTTTCCGGCGCTCCCAAACAAACGACGGCAACGAGACCACGCTGTGGGGACGAGTAGAACGGATGAGCCGGATTCCTCTGCGAGCATCCGCCTTTGTGCGTTGACATGAGCTGGTTCCAAGTGAATGCTTGTCCTTCACGCATAGGATAATCCCACAGGCAGAGAGCACCTCGAATGAAGGCTGGAACCCCAGTGTATGTGCTTGGTCGGTCTAGCACGAAGATATCAATGCCTTTCTCCTCCGTCGCAAGTAGATGCCGACTGTCGATGAAGTCAAAGGAATTGTATTTATGTTCTGGTTCTTTTGGATCTTTTTGTAGATGCTGTGTGATCACGGTGTTAGGTAAGTTCCATATACATGCACGACATACGATACTTTCCCAAAGCAAATCACCCGTCTTCCAATCCCACACCAGAACCGCATGTTCATGGTTCCAAGAGCCAAGATGCGCTACATAGTCGCCTTCTAGACGAGTTTGCCGTCCTTCCCTGCGGTTTTCTTCGACATCGTCTTTCTCATCATATCTGCCTGCGTCTGACAGGTTGATCTCACTGCGAGCAGCAAGGCGATGGGGTTGCCCATCTGTAAATGACAGGATACGAAGTGCCGGATATCGGCCCCTGTCTCTTCGTCAAACACACGCACAAGGCTGATCAAAACATTGCCTACTGTGGTCCGTCGGGCACCCGATCCCACCCTGTCACGACAACAACGTCCTGTGATGGATCCATACACATTGTCTCCATTTCCATCTCCAGGCTCTCGCTGTGGATAGACCATCGACGCTCTGAAACGCCAAGAACTGCGGATGGAAGCTGGATGAAGTCAATCCCGCCTTCCTTATTTGCTTGGGCGAAAAGACCACCAGGCGCGGTCGTCCACGCGAGCGCCGTCCATTGTGGAAAGGATGTCCCTGGCACAAGCTCTGCGGTGCGGCGCATGTGCTGCAGAGACCGTAGTTTTCGCAGTCTCTCCGCGTAGGGAAGCGGGCACAAGGGCTCATCGGCCATGCCCGCAAGCTCCAGTTCATAGAAATATTGCAGCACAGTGGAGTCGCGTATAAGCTGTAGGAACATTTGGCACACCTGAAGAACATGTATACGATCAGTTTTAGACTAATCCACTGTTTCGACACTACTCACTTGTTTACAGTTGATCAGATCGCGAGCATCGAGAAAGAAGAAGATCATCACGAGGAGCTCGACGGGCAGGTCCGTAATGATATGTGTAGCCATAGCTGATCAGAGCTTCAACGAGGGATTGACGACTGGCACTGAAAAGTTATGAGGAGGTATGGTCGTCGCTTTGATGGCAACAGGGCTGACCACGACGACGCCGTCCAAGAACAAAGGAAGGAAGATCAGAACTGCACGCTCGGAGTCAATACATCCGGTCCGGGCTGCTGCACTCCTGCAGGAAACCTTGTGGATTGAGAACTTCTCGTCCTGCGTCGCCAGGGCGTGCGTCTACCCCACATATAGTACATCCATACTATGCGTTCCCGGCCAGGCGGCAGACACCTGGGGAAATCAGGCCGCGGCGCTGACTTGAGGGGCAGAGTACTTCCGCTACAGTTCAGCATTATGTACAGCACCGTGTTCGCCGAAGCTGACGTCGAGTCGTCGCCTACAAAAGTACCTTTGTCAATGATAGAAAGATGACTAGACGTGCACTTGCAACGGCTATGTTACTCTGAGTGAAGTGAACTCCACTTTTATCACGGCGCCCCGATGCTGGCCGCCCTTAGTCTCACTCTCCATCACCGCGCTCCTTACAGAACGGAGAGTTTTGAAACACAGTGGAGAGCGGCATGCCAGGCGACAGTCTAGCAATATGAACAGCAGCAGAACCGTTTGACGATGCCACCAACACGGACGTCATCATCCGCACTTCCGATGCCGTCGACTTCTATGTCGACAAGTTCATCCTCTCAAAGGCGTCCGCATTCTTCCGACTTATGTTCACCTTACCTCAGGGACCCAATGCCTCTGACAAGGGCACCGTTGAGACAGGCAAGCCCATCGTCGAAGTCACAGAACCCGCCGCCGTCTGGGAGCAGCTTATGCGTGTGTGTTACGCTGCCACCGCATTCGCACCGCCAGAAGGCATCGACTACATATGGCCTCTGATCGAGGCCGCCAGGAAGTACCAGATGGACGGAGTGCGCAGCGTCGTCAGCCAGGCGCTTCTCTCTGCCGATGCGCTCGAAAATCACACCATGCGCGTATACACTCTTGCCTGTGCATACGAGTTGGAGGACGTCGCTCGAATGGCCGCCAGATATACCTTGCGCCAACCTCTGCATTCTATCGCATACGTGCCAGAAATGCGCTGCGCTACGGCCGGGGCGTACTAGCGCCTTCTCGACTATCACCGAGAATGCGGACGCGTCGCACGCACTTTTATCATGGATGAAAGTTGCTTGATGGAGGGTTGGGCGAGAGAGCTGCAGGATTGCATTTTCCTCTGTTGTGGGACATGTGCTGGAGACCTCAGCGGCTATGGCACCTCAGGTAGATCCTTCGTACGGGCATATTCGATAGCCTACATGAAGCGTAGCGCGGATGCTCTCGAAATACGTCCTTATCCACCGTGCGTGGCTGAGTTCTCAATCATGGCTCCATCCATACAAGAGGCGAGCAGCTGCACCACATGCTCTCCTTCGGTCATCGCAGACATGGCGCGGTTTGCCAAGGCGTTTGGGGACGAGATCGAGAGACGGATTTCGATGGTAAGCAAGAGGGATACGAATAATTAACATTTGAGCTGACGAGATCGCGATCACAGGTCAGGCTGATTGTGGAACCGTGAAACGGACATGCGCGAGGCGCGGGCACTTTATTTCGCTTTGTATGTTATGACAACCAACGAAGCGATAGCACCTACCCGGTCTATATACGTTGCATTTTGGGATGATTCGCTTTCCTGTTCATGTGCTTAGTTTCATCATCATAGTATGGCAGCAATCCTGCGTGTGCATTGTTCTTGAGGCGGTGTGCAGCCGAGGTTTGTGCGCTAAGCAGATGACGATGTGCATCTTCTCGTCTTCGAGGGCGGTATCACGCAATTGCGATTGATACGCATCGCAAGTCTTGCTACAACTCTCTGAAGCAAATTCTATTGCCAAATTATAGACCCCGACGCAATCAGATCTATAGTAAGGAACCGCCAACAATCAAAGTCCAAGGAGCTGTGCTCCTTCGTACAAAGACACAAAGGCTTCTCGTGCCCTTATATTAGCTCCCGTCCTATTTGCTACCGTGCTCGGTGCTTTTTGGCACTTCGTCTTGCTCTGCTGCCGAGCTCGGTCGCTGGGTATACGGACTCACTAGCGTGCCTAGCATTGAGAGATGCGAATATGGCACCAGGCAACAACCTTTGGGCTACCGGGTATGGCTCAGAATGTTATGTAGACCTCCTGTAGCGGGATGTCTGTCAGTGATTACATTCAGATCGATGAGATCCGGTGCAGCTTACTCCACATATATACGGCAGCGTCTCACTATTCTGCCACTCATATGTTCTTGCCCGACTTCAGGTCACCCGCGCCGAGGCAGCACCCCATGAGTAAGGCGACTGAACAAGCGGGCCGCCCCCTCGCGTCGATGTGAGCTACCAGGAGCTCCTGCGTGTCTTGTTGGCCGGCTTGGAGCTTCAGAAGCTTGTGGGGAGGGCGGACTCGGTACGCGTTTGCCTTTCGGATCTTGTTTCAGGACACGAGGAGGAACTTTTGGCATAGGGAGATGTGACATCCGCGGTAGGTCCTCCAGGCACTGAGGAACAAGGTAGAGGTCTCGTTTCCCATTGACGACCACCAGGACAGGTTTTGGGCCGGGCATGGGGTACTGTTTTAGATCGCGGAAATCGCGCTTGGTCGATGGCAACGACGAGCGACGTCGACGCATGCACATGGGGTTGAATGCCACTACCATGGGACGAGCCTCGTAGATGATGTCTTGAGGCCTAGTCATCTGAGAGTGCATATTGTTTGAGCTAGGCTGGCCGTGACTTAGTGGGCCGAGCCACGATGCGGGGGGTTGCACATTCCGAAGACGGGAGCTTCTCTGCGGGGGAGGAAAAGTGAAGGGCCGGAAGTGGATGTCACCGTTCGAGTCGTCTGGAAAGAATTCGAGTTCAGCTGCCGTCGGTGAGACATACGCGGATTAGTCTTTCTCACCTGCCTCGAATACGCTAGCAAACTCGTGGTTTGCAGTTTCCACCTTCATTTCAGTCGGTGAGGACTCTGCATCCTGCGTTCCCCGGGCGCCATACTCGTGTTGTTGCTCCTGCTCGGCCTGGATGGTTTCGATAGGTGCGCTTCGGTAGACCCGCTCGTCCTGTAGAGGCTGCTCACTGTGTCCATCGTCGGTGCCGTGTCCTCCTTGCTCGTAGGGAGAAACTTGCCGCATTTCATCCTCTGCATCGCCGGATGGTGCTCGTCCTTCTCTCGAATCCGTCTCCGCCTCCTGGAGATTCTCGTCCTCCTCGCAAGCCGACCCTGTTTGCTGTGGTAGCTCGTTGCCGTGCTCCTCTGCCAGTCGCTTGTACTCTGCTTCGACTTCCGCACCTTGCACACGCCAGACTTCCAAATATGCATCTCCCTCCTCCATTTGTGCCTGTATTGCGTCCAACTGCGCATACCAGTGGTCGACTGTAGAGTTCGATCGGGCCAGATCGTCGAGCTGTGTGGGCCACTCCGCGCTAAGTCTCTCGACCTGGAGCAGGCCGACTGCGCTTGACATGGCTGGCCGGTTCAACTCATCCGAACGCGCCGCTGGTTGCTTCTTTCCTTCCTCGTGCACCCCCTCTGTAGGCGAGGATTGCAGTGTATCGAGAACGTGCGGAGAGGGGGACGAAGGACGGGATCCAAGAGAGGATAAAGGCAACATAGTAGACAAGTCCTGCTGAGGCCCCAGGTGAGTACGCATCGGAAGCTCAAGCAATCAAGGTCACATACGTCGTGGCATGGATTTCCTGCCGCGTGGTTCACATCATGGATGCGTGTACCAACGTCGGTTGACAGGGACAGGTCCATGGGCACATGGTCGCCCTCGAGGGGCGTTGTCTATGTGAAGTCGCCGTCAACATGATAGATACATAGTGCTTGGTTGCTGCTTACCTCATAAACATTGTTTGTTGTTGTCTCCATGTCGGTGGAATCAAGATGGGGGTCTGCAGATGCATGCTCCAGCGATGTCTGCGCCGTTTGAGCGGCCTGGGTATCAAAGGTATTGGCAATGCCACCTCTCTCAGATTGTGGCACTGCATCAGGGTATAGGGCGGTTCGGTCTGCAGAAATTCCTATCCATGCATCTACGCTCAGCTCATTCATTGTCGGTACTTCGCGAAGCCATGAAACCATACCTGTCGATATGACAAGAGGCACCGCGTCTGTACTTTGAAGCTCGTTTGCATCGTATGGCGCTGCCCTCACCATTTGAGTTCAAAGGCTCAAGCAGGCGAAGGGTTTACTCACTTTCGTGACTTTCAACAGTCCAGAATGTGGATAGATTGGACTTTTGTCTGGGGGCGTGGGGTATATTGTCTGTCGAGGCATTCCTACCGTTGAGAATAAGCTCTTCAATAAATGGTGGAAGTGCGCTGGTGTTATCTTCCGATTTAGCCTCAACATTGACCGACTGCTAATGCAACAATGAGACCACAATATAAGGCATACAACAAGGGCTCTTACGAGGATACGCCCTCGTTGATGGCGTTTTAGAACGAGATAGACGCTGCAGCATGCGATTGCAATCGTGAAGGTACCATATGCCACGAGGTACGTCAAGATAGAAGCGGCAGGATTAATGAGCTCCTCCCGTATGACAATGTCCTTCGTTGGATATTCGAGCCGCATAGAGGACGTCGTACTGTTCGATGTTGCAGTGACAGTAGATGGCCGTGTAATGGAAGTCGCAGTGAGTGATGGTATGTGCAGACTTTCATAGACATCGGGGGTATGCATCCATTGAAGCAGGTCTTTCGAGGATGGTATCGTCGGTGCCGCCGGGAGCGAGTAACGTGCTGGAGGAGCCGCAAGCAAGAAATTGGACTTGCTGTACAGACAAATGAGCTCGTGGGGAACGTGTATGTCGGTGGAACTCACATATAGGAGTGGGTGACATCATCTGCAATAAAGAGCAGATGTGGCCACGCCGCGTCGAGTAAGAGGGCGACCGTGTATGAGGTGCTGAAGTTGCCGTAGGTTTGGATGCGTGCCACAAGAGCGAGGAGGGCGACGGCCGTCTGGCTGGCTATCTGAAGCCACAGCATCGTAACGTTGTAGGTGCGTAATCTAATATAGAAGTGTGAGCGATTTATATGCGGAGATTCTGTCACGCGGTGCGACGCTCAGACAAGAAAGCGACTGCGCCACAGATACATTGTAATGCACTATGCGTATAGCGAGACAGCAGTCATTGACAACATAACTGGCTGTAGCACTCACCAGTAGAAAGGTGTTTGAATGCAAGTGCGCCACAGACTTAGGGAGGATGAAAGTCAAGCACAAGATGGCCGAACAATCACCGCCGCATTTAATAATAACTAAGCAGGCCTCATCTAGATCTCGTTTGCTTGAATAATCATATTGCCTCACTACCGCATTGTTCTCCAGATTGTCGCCACTGCGTGCGTCAGTATAAGGGCGTATTTTAAACTCCGCTCATCGACGGTCAAGACAAAAGACATGCTCGGGCCCAGATTGTATCACGGTTCCAAGACTTCTACAGCACGTCAACACTAGTCTCAATACTATGATACTGGTGTTATACCTTTGCACATAGTACGAGCTGTTCCTGGGAACGAATTGTGCGCCGCGGTAGCTAAAGGAATGGCATTGGCCCAAATGGAACAGGATTGATGACAATAGACGCTCGTAAAGATGCTAATTTCGAGGAATCAGACCTCTCGCTACACAGTCTCATAATGCATATTTTCTGACGATGCATAGTTTACCCCACAGGGAGCCCCGAATCATGATGTATATCCCGCTCACCGATGAACAGCAGCTGATTTTCCTTTGCCAGCGAGTTGGAATAGGCATGTGACTGGTCATGTCTATCTCACTAGGGCTCTATTACTTTTCTCAGCCGATGTGAGAGAAATGCAGGCGATCTTGCACAGAGCATAAGCCGGTATCGGATCTGATTATAAGGAGTTGGAGAAGGATAGTCATCGAAGCAAAGCAACCTTTAGATCGACGTGGGACACGCAAACCTTCGGGAACGGTCACGTGACCTACGCGCGACGTGGTGGCTGAGTGACCCAATGGCCGTTTCAGACGTGCTCCAGCTCGTAGGACCATGGAATTCGATGTTTTTACAGGGAGAATCAAATGAATGCATATAAATATGTCTCCACAAATATTCGGAGATTTTAAAGGCCCTAGAAGGGCTTGAATTGAGCCCGGTGCATGTTGTTGAGACTAAGCGCGCTGCATAGCGGCTTGTTTCGCGTGTCCCATGAAGGATCTTGCAACTTATTTCTTCATGGGACACGCAAAATTTGGCGGTGGCACCTATTTTTCTCTCTGGGGAGCGTGTCCCAGCAAGAAATTTCGCCTTAGAGCTTCATGGGACACGCAGGATTGCTTAAGGGATGTTTTTCCGCATGTCACCCCCGAATACTCCCTTATCAGGCAGTCACGCCCGTGTCCCGTAACAGGAAAGCACCGGCTGACAAAGTAACGCAGTGCAGGCACGTGAATGTGACAGGACGCGTCGCTCGGCCTCGCGCCTCTCAACTTCAATGGAGTCGTCAAAGGATCCTTCACGGCGTTAGTGAATAACATGCACATCGCCGAGTAACTGACAGGGAGACTGCTTCCATTATTTATATGCTCTTAGCTCATTTTGGGTACCCTGGAGCTTGCAATGCCCGAGAGTCCCTTACGCCGGGTTGAATAGAGCATCGAACGTTGGAGTGGGTGTCGCTCATCAGCAGAGCCAGAGACTGTGGGAACGACGCCGGAAAGACCGCCGGCAGCCAACGTCCTCGATGGACAGGGATCAATGGTGGATAAGGTTACAAACCGATGGGGCTACCTACGGCGCGCGACGCCTACATTAGTCCTATTCCCACACCGGCGCACGACCACGTGACCCGGGCCGGCAGCGACGCTTGCCCGACATACCCAAAAGTCAACAGAGACACCAAAGACACAGTCGAATTTACGTCGCCCATGTAAGCAGGCTCTCTCTGCGTGCCTTCCCTCGTCTTTCATATACTTTCGCAGTTTATTGCAGTTCTTGAGTATCAAGCTCTTTAGTACTGACGTCTCTTGGAACAGTATATTACCGCGTCCATCTGCACCCTTACATGGTGCGTCTAAACCCCTCATAATTATCTCTATCGGTGCCCACCTTCACATTCAATGCTTCTCAGCTACGGCCTCAGATGGTCGTACCGGCTCCATGAGGTTGTTCTACTATAGGCCGTAGCGAAGGCCTCTTATTTTAGCGCCTTGGTCGATTCAAACTCTTTCGCTGCAGGCGTTATCGACATGCTGTATCTATCCTTTCCCTGCAGATCGAGCACTCCCCGTTCACCGACTATTCAAAATTGCCAGCGATATCGCCACGCTCAGATCCTTTGGAAGAACACATATATTCCTATTTCGTGCATTCATCGTTGCCGAGGACGCCGTGGTAAACAATATTCTTGGCTTCGAGTTAATGCTCATGGCTTCATATCTAGGTGTTCCTCATAAGACGCCTTAGCCCTCTCCTGCGTTGACGTGGGCTGAGCGGGTCGCGGTCAATGGCGAGGTGGAGCACCGCCGAGCTTTGGGGAACACTTATTCCTTCAAGATCGGTCATCCGCTCCTCGCTCCAGGACAGGTAGAACTGCTATGGGTCGACGACGTAGAATCGCTGCCATCGACACACCAGCCCTATGGAAGATCCTGCTTGTGTCATCGGACCCGTGGCCACGATGTCATCGATGTCATTGTATAGAAATCGTTTCTGCCTTGTGCACGATAGAGGTACGTTCAGCAGCTCAGCACCGTGTGCCAACGTATGTCTTTGAGTCCGCTATGGATACAAGGTCAATTATGCTGTCCTCGCTAATGCAAGCGTGATACCCACGGTATCGAAGAACTCACCATCACACAGGCTGTCAGGAACCCCATGTGTTCGTCCCCTGTTTCCTTGAGACAAATCCATGCGTGGGATAGCGAGACCGTCATCCCTTTTTACGATGATCTTTCCATTAGCGACATGCTAGTCAACCCCATTACCCACATCGTTACTGGCATACTTAACTTAAAATGTGTTGTTGGAAGTGGTCTGTCCCTCTCAGCTTCTCGGGATACCAAACCACGTATGAGCTTAAATTTAGCGTGCCCTCCCTGTCGTTGCCCTCGGGCGTAGAGGACGCCTTGAGATGAAGCGCTCTGCGGCGTGAATCGTACCCCGCGTTCCGGGCACCACGAGCGCCTTTGTGCTGCGTCACTGCGTATATGTGAATAAGATGGCGTGGCTTGAGAAGCAATCTTTGGCAGGCTTCAATGGGCAGGAAGCATCTCGCGGGGTGCGTATCTGCTGTACTAGGACCGGTACCATGATGTAGATCACTATATCTCGCGGGAGCCTTGAGGCCCCCTCTGATGGATGTATTACTATCTTGTATCATCAAATAAATAATACCTCTGTACATATCTAGAGTTGAGACTATAACTTTACAGGTGTCCTATCTGATATCAGGAAGGCAACATTACACCATTGTTTTAGATTCACATACGCAGACGACGTGGTGCAGATGTATATTGCATCGGAGGTATCACCACGACGTCAGTATATGTCGTCAACAGCTGCAGGTAGCCATCCCTAGGTCTTCTGCGTCCTTGTTCATCATTCAGGAAGACATAACTCATTTCAATAATGCGGCCAACTCAATATGTTCTCCTGGAAAATCTTGACCACTGCGGGAGCAGGAACAAGTTCGTATCACTGCTAAAAGTTACGAAACTGTGGGCGTCTGTCTTCCCTAATTTACAGTCACGACGCAACTGCAGATCTCGCGTGCACGAATTCCTAGGGTGCTTGTCTCCGAAAGAAATGGTAGGTTATAGAGATAGTTCTGTCTTTATATGTTCATCATAAGTATCTAGGGTTTTCCTGTATCCCCGTTCGGATGATGTCTTTTGTCCTCTTGGCTGATGCGGAGTTCTAAACTATGCCCTTGTATTCTCTGCCGTCAACCTGGAGACAATATGACCACGAGGCAGCATCTATACAAACAAAGGCTGTGGTAATCTATTAGATAAGATATCTGTATTTGGACACGGTCATCGGTGGCGGTCCGAGTCTCAACCGTCTTGCGTTCGACCATAGCCTACCTTCAACCACAACACACTCAAACGCGCTTGAAATCATACCTTCGCTAAACTGTGAGTACTGAATAGTTGTACAATTCCTTTGTCTTGGTTAGGACTGAGCCTCCGACGTGTTCAACGTTGACTTCGGCGGGGTACATTGTGGCGTCGATCCTCGATATGAGTTGTGTGCTGTCGATGCAGTCGCCAGACATATAGCCTTCAATGCACAATAGATCGCAATGACTGACATTACTGTTTGCATCCTGCCCTAGATCTCATCTCAACCGGTAGCGATGTTGTGGTTACAGATAGCAACCCAACTGGGCATCGCCCTCCTCACCTTCATCACGCACACCCAGACATACGGCAATCTCTACATACCCCTGACGATCGGAGATTTCATCGACGCTGCAGTCCCCCACATCCTCTTTATCGCCGACCACGCCGCGCACTCACTCCTGTGAGTACGCTTGATCAATAGGTGCCACATTCACTCACGTTATCCATACAGAGCCTCCTCTGTCCCTTCCCTCCCTGCTCCTCCTATTCGCCATGGGATCTCAGCCCCACCGAAGACGGTATTATCCAAGGACCTGATACTGTGGACGCCCGTTGGGCTCCCGGTGTCTGCGGGCCTTCACTTGCCGACCCTCACGGCAGCGCCCATCCCGTGCCTGTTGACCATCACGGAGATGCGCACCCACGGGTTGGGGCCACAACTCGAATACCCGACGAAGGATCTTGTCGTCTGGGAGGGGCACACAGGCGAACTGGTTGATGCATCCGGGTCGACGTACTTTGTCACGAGCGGCATCCTGGCCATCGCCATCATATGCGGTGCATGCATGATTGTGAACGCATTCCGTAGTCAGTACATTACGATACTCCGGGCATCTTTCAAGGCATACCTATGGTCCATCTTGGTAAGTGACCACTCACCGAGCATAATGATGTCAGCTCACCGTCTTGCTAGTTCACTGGCATTCCCAATGCAGATGCCGGTGCAGCCCCGCCGTCCAACGTCGAGCTCGCGTGGGACGGCGAGGATGCATCGGTCGACGTCTCTGACCGGGAACTGGCTACCGGGGTCATCAATGGCTCGAACGCGCATGTCCGCCACAATAGTAAGTCGACTATTATGCACTCTGTACCATTCGAATTAACAGCCTATTAAGACGCCATCAACGGCATATCGGGAACACTGTCAAAGGTCTCCGACATCTCGCTGGCCCAGACCGCAGGTACTGCTCACCATTGCCTAGGCATAAAAGGGACTCGCTCATACTGTATGCATCCGCAGAGGCACCGACCATGTCCTTATACCCAGACACAGTGGCCGCTCATCTCGATGACGGTCAAGCTGTAGATACCCAGGATATACGGTGCACAGAACGTGCGCAGGCGGGGACGGGAATCGAAGCAACTGGCCCACACCCCCCAGCTGTAAGCCTCGCAGAGTACTGCAATGTTCATTCAGTTGACGAGGCTGTTATGCACAGAGGATTCATGGGCAAGACCTCTTGATACCAGACGTGGCACTGCTTCCGCAAGATCCTCAGTCAAGCTCGTCCACCCCTCCGCTACCATCTGCCTCTCAGCCTGTATCGCCCTCCCATGACGTCGCCATCTCGTTCGGCACGCTCCTGGTAGCATCTACGCAGGAAATGTGCGACAGTTATGAGAGGCGGTGCAAGGAAATCCTCGACAGCGTACAAAAGCAAGTACGAGAGCCATTACGAGAGCAAATACAAAAGCAATTGAAATTTCTGAAAGTTCTGAAACTGCTGAAACTTCTGAAGCTTCTGGAACTTCTGAAAAGGAACACGCACACACCACAGGGCATGGACTACGCCCAGCAGCACCACACGATCTGCATTGAACGGAATAGCCAAATCAACTCGTTGCGAACGCAGGCGGAGGAAGCGCGTGAGCGCCTTACTGAGTTCAACGAGGCGATTGCCGAATCCAAGGCCTGGTGTGACGACCTCGTTTCGGGATACAACGGGCTGGAACTGGAGCTTGAACAGGAGCTTGCGCTTGAGCGCGCGACTGCCACGAAAGAAGTCAAACTACTAGCGCAAGAGTCTGAACGGCTGCGTTTCGCACGTACACAGCTGATGGCGGAGCTCTCGCGACAGCGGGCGGAGCTCGGTCTCCCAAAGGAAGAACACACACGCACCGAGGAGGAATGCCAGATGGAGCACCTCCGTGATAATGTGGGGCCGACCGACCTGGAGGAGCGAGAGGCACGACCGGACGAGGGTGGGAGTGTGCAAGTCACGCGAGAGCAGCTCGACTACGGCATTCAGGTAGAGCAGGAGGCCTGGGATGAGCCAATTGTGGAAGGGACTGAAGAACAGGAGGACCAAGACGCACAGGAGGATCAGATGATGTTGAACGGTCAACTCAGGGAGAGCGAGAACTTCGGAAACGTCGAGCAACCCGAGCTAGAGAAGGTCCGCAAGGCGCTTGACCAAGAGGCCGAGGAAGAGAGCGGCAATATGCGACAGACGCAGCTGTTGCAAAGCGACGGGACGCCATCGGATGAGCGCGACGACGCACACGATCCATTGGATGAGCAAAGTGGCGTAGCCGAGCAGGATCGTGCAGAGCAGCTGGGAGATTACCTGGAAGACAGCGGGGAGAGATTCTACAAGTTTCTGAGGGAGATGACTAGCAGGGCAGGGGACGAGCGAGACCAGGAGAGCACGACTGGCGAGGACGCCGAGCGTCAGATCAGCGAGCCAGACGCAGACGAGGAGAGCGAGGCAGACAGTGATCAAGCGCAGCGAACAGACGACCTGACAGCCTGGCGGAGAGTGCGAAGAGTGCTAAGAGCGTTATGGACAATGTGAAGGTCCCTCCTCTATGGCTCGCATCCGTCACCTGCGTGCACGTCTAGCGACTGCGGTTCGCTTGGTTCACGAGCGAGCTACCGAGGGTCAAGACAATACGGATGGGCGGGTTCGGACGCACCAACGACAAGATGAGCCATACGTCTTGTATACAGCCAGCCCTCGAAACCCGGCCTCATTGCGTCGTCATTGCGTGTTACACCGAACCCACTGATTGCCTCCCAGAAGACCTCAGCCGCTGCTGGGACCCACTCTACCTGCGATTAAATCCTCGTACAAACGGGCAGGGGTCCATCGATCCGCTCCCGATGCCGCCCACATCGCTCTAGGCCAGCCCGGGCGACATGCGCGAGTAGACTGCGCGTTCAGGGAACGTGTAGTCTGAATCACCCACATCGCCTCAGGTCGCCGACGCGTCCGTACCCCCGAAGCGGCTACTGAAAAACATGCGTATATTCGGCCTTGCGCTGGATCAGAACAAGAGACATTAGGTTGTCCAGGCACGAACCTGGACTATCCTCTTCGTGAGCAATTGACCTTGAGTCCTCACGCTATAAGCTTATCACCTGCACGAGGATCTGTGGAAGATGAGCGACTGTCGGGAAGGCTACCTTGGCTCATTGGGTTCACGTACTAAGGTATATGTCCGCTCAGTGACGGTTTCCAAGACAGCCTCGCTAATTTCGAACCCTCTTTCGTCTTTGTCTCGAAGTTTTGTCCTAGCTGTGTCGCTTCTGCATATCGCCGCCCGCGCCTTCTTTTCTGTGCCTGTATCCCTCGCCGCCATTATCCCCTGTGCTCCTCCTCATTTTCCTTCTTCACAGATGGTGACACTATACCTGACTTACACGCCCTTCTCTACCACATCATACGCCCTCGGTCACCATACGTACGTTTAGCGTTTTGGATTCCTCTGTATCACTTTCAGAATATAGCATTGCGCTGTGTGAAGCTGGTCTATCGAGATGATAAGACTTCGGAACGGACGGGTCCCAGGTCGGCCATGGCTGCCAAAGGATCTTCCTCAATTTGCGCGATCATTGCCTGGTGCGTGCTTATATACTACACAGGCCTATATTATCTCAAGTTGTACTGCGATAGTGTACATGAAGCAACATCGCTTACCGCTGAGCAGTATCTTGAGCCAGCAATTCAAAGACTGAAGATGTTCGGTACTCAGAACTGGAACAGATTGAGCATTCCGCCAAAGTACAACATATCCTGGTTGAGCATTCCACCAAAGCACAAGACTGTCCTCGTAGAGCCGCATAGACCGCATAATGGTCGCACAGTCTGAGCAGAGAACTGACAGAGGCGAAGACTAGCGAGGGCGTTGGAAGGAGGCTGTCGGGTGGGTCGTCGGCACGTGCCATGTATGACGAGACCAGACGCGTCAGGACGTGTCGCGCCAGCTCCTGACCTGCAACCCTTTGGTGCTACTACAGTCTCAGTGCATGCAGCATGTACGTTACCGACCACCACTTGCTTCCAATGTATTCCAGGGCGTGTAAAGCTTCGTAGCGTCACCAGCCGCACGATTTGCGCTCTGTATTCCGTCAGACGTACTGATGCCTGCGCATATTGACATCGCAAACGCATGTTCTGGGAGCAATCTTCAGCACAACTGATGCAGATATAAGTACACCCAGGATATCACAGTATACCGAAATGGCAATCGTGGGATATCAAAATTTGCAGTATAGCGCCCCATACGTCGCCAAGAACACAGAGGTACGGCGGGCCTGGAGAACGCCATGCATGGCTCAACCCGGTCCTCGACTTGCGTCGCTGTTGGAAGCCACCGGGAAGTATCTGACGTAGGATTCGAAAAAGCTCCACATGATCGCATGCACGTTTCATTGACTATGAAGACAACATTGGTATATTACTGCCATGGAAGGCACAATTGCGCAGGGGTATATAGGGGGCTTCGAAGCCGCCTGTGGGAACGCGATGACAGTGGTTATTAGAGTACCTGGGAAAAACAGTAACGTGTCATTCTAACATTCTGAATCAGCGGCCGCTTCACGAAAGCACTCACATCGATCGTCAGTGCTCAACATTGAAGACTAAATTCCAGCAATAACCGTTATGAGAACGTCTATCTGCTAAGGCTTGCTCTTCCCTCCCCGTTGGCGTCCAGACCGAGTCGATGTCGTAGGACGCACCGACTTGCGGTGAAGGATCGCATTTACCTGCACCATAAAGGCTTCTTCGTCTATCTCGGTGACGGAGTCGTCATCGTTGGAACCCCCTCCCAAATTCGGCAGCTGTACGCCCATGACTCCTTGCGGCTGTAGTATCGTTGCCGGTGTCGCTGCCGGTGTCGCGTGCTCATCAGCGTACGCATTCGTGGTGAATGTGAACGTCGAAGATGGCTCATCTGATGGCGGAGCAGAGGTCCCAGAAGAGCTTGAAGGCTCATCTGTTGGCGGCGCCGAGACGACTACTCCCTCCATACTCAGATCTGGCGGCAGCGGGCTGTAAATGGCGGGATCAGCGGAAGCATTGACACAGGGAGAAGCAGACTGGTCTGACCTGGATACTCTATCGGGCGGGAGCTGTTCTCCGGTACCAACTCGCGGGAGGAACTGTGAAGTCTCTTGTTGGCTGTGCGGATCTATCGTCCCAGATTGATCGTTCGGAGGCTGAGGGCTGCTGACCATGTTGGTGTCCAAATCGCCACTTCTCGTGTTTCTCTCGAACGAATACGGCCTTGAAGACTCGACGGAATAGTGATCTGAAGACTCGAAAGAATAGGGACTCGACTGCACGTATGCCGCCGTCTGCCCGCCATACTCAGCCTGAAGTCCTTGCGCGTACAGAACGTCTTGTACGTTGTACATCCCCTGTGTACCCTGCCCGTACTGAGTGTTTGAAGGTCCAGGTTTTGGTGCGGCAGAAGCAAATCCTTGGTATGTATTCGAGCTGGCATAATAAGATTGACTATGACTGAGGTTGACGGCATTAGCGGTGACATATCCATGGGTGAATGGGCCCTGATCGGACAATGGCGTGGTTTGAGGTGGTGCCAGAGCGCGATTGTATATCGCAAACTGTTGCTCTGTCGCAACGGCCGGGAGAGACTGTGCAGCCCACTGGTAGCCATATGGCCCGGCTGTGCTCGATGGACCTTGCCAAGACTGCGGGGGCATGGGCTGGTAGTACGAGCTGTCGAGGGTGGGTTGATATCCTCCCTGGAGCTGCGGCATCGCATCCATGTTCACATCATCTACTTGCTGCTGCCCGTCTTGCCCTGTGTTCTCGCCATTCTCGACCTGGACGTTGGGTACGTCTTGCGCTTGCGGTTGGCCTGAAAGCCCCAGGAGTGTCAAGGCCGCATTAAAATCAGATGAAGGTGTATCGACGGGATTTGCTGCAGCAACTGGACTCGGGGGCGAGGGCTGCTCTTCCGCGGTGGCCGAATTATCCGGGTCAGACTCCGGGGAAGGGGCCCGTACCGCGACCTGCAACGGGGCAACCTGGGCAGCCTGGACAGCTTGCTGATGCTCCTGCAGCCAAGGTGATGCGGGTGGCGTGGGCTGACGCGGAGGGAGACAGTCGAGCGTGAACCCATGGCCGGAGCTTTCACCATGCTGAGCTGGCGCGCCTGGCATAGGCTGTACGACCTGCTCGACTGATTCGACTTGCCCGGCTTGCTCGACTGGCTTCGTGTCTTGCGAGTCCTGCGTACCCCGTGAATCGCGGCCGTCTGCCTGTGCTTGTTGTTCCCCCTCAATAGATCCTTCCTGAATCTGCTCGGCCTCCGAATGATGCCTGCCGTGGACGTCGTGATGCATATGTTCGTGGCTTTCGCGCAACAGTTCTTCCTGTTGTGTCTCCACGCCCTGCTCGCGCGCACGCTCTGCCTGGTCAATCTGCGCCTCTTCTGGATCAGTCTGTGCTTCGTTGTGGCACAGATGGTCCGCAGCGTCAGCCTGCACGTCCTGTTCCCGCACGCCTTGCGTATCGTCGGTCTGCATGCCCTCCTCGCATAGGCCTCCCCGACCCGTCTGTGCGTCCCGATGCTCCGCGTGAGTGGTGTGTACGCCGCGTTCGCATAGAACCTTCTCTTCCGTATGCACCACCTGATCCTGCACATGCCTCGCTTTCTCTGCCTGCGCCTCCTGATCACGCCGACGCTTGGCCTCCAGACGCATACGCTCGGCCTCCAGGCGAGCATGCTCCTTCTCCAGCATCTCCCGCCGTTTTCCCAGAGCCACCCGGTCGGCCATAGCCTGTACGTGCCTCCTCTCGGCCTTCGCGCGTTCTTCCTCCGCCTGCATGCGCGCAGCTTTGATTCGCGCATGTTTCTTCTCCAGTATCTCGCGCCGTTCCTCCAACTGAATCCGCTTTGCAACAGCTTCGGCGCGCGTTTGCTCGGCCTTCGCACGTTCCTTCTCAGCTTGTGCGCGCGCTGCCTCGTGCTGGAAGCGCTCTTTCTCCGACGTCTCGCACTGCTCCTCCAGTTCCTTCCGCTCCACGATGGCCCGCACGCGTCTCCATGTGGCTTCCTTGCGTTCCTTTTCGGCCTTCATGCGCTCAGATTCAATGAGCGCACGCTTCTGCTCCACCTGCGCCCGCTCTCTTGCACGCTGCTCGTGCTCCTTTCTCGTCGCTGCACTTTCCAAGTCCAGACGCGCACGCGTCGACTTCAGTAGCGCCAGCGTCCGATTGACTTCGGCCTGCCGTGCCGTCATTGCCGCATAAGTCCTCGTGAGCTCCGAGCAACGGTCCTCCCACTGAGCCTGCACGCCCGCGGCGCGCTGGACCTCTTGCTCGACAAATGCCAAGAATCCCTCACGTTCTCTCTCCATAGCCTCTCGCAATAGGTCCGGGCGAGCGCTCTGGTATTGCATGATTTTGATGGCCTCGGCGCACACCTTGGAGTATCTCTCGCAAGCGTCCGCAGTGCGCGCCAATGAGGCTTCTTCGGGCATGGGCGCGATCCAACTGGGGGCACAGGAGGACTTGGACGACCCTGGTTGCAATGGTCAATCACTGTTGCAGTAAATGAGGACGCGAGGGTCGTACCTGACGTGGAATGACCTCCATGGGCTGCTGTGGTTTCCGTCTGCTTCTCGGTACGTGCTCCCGTCGTGTTTTTGGCGTCGCTATTGGGATCGTTCGTGTTTTGAAGGACGGTGGTATCGCGGTCTGCAGAGGCGCTCGAAATTGTCGACGAAACACCATCGTTGTCCAGAGAGCTCGTTCTGGACTGCGATGGTGCGCCGCCATAGAATATCTCCATGAGCTTGGCAACGATGTTGCTCTGCACATCATGATCAGCATGCAGGGTGTTCACTAACATGCACGCACTCACCGGGGTATAAATCCGCAGACCACTGTGGGTAGTTGACGTCCCCTCTCCGCGCCAGTCCCTAGAGAGCTTCACAAGTACACATGCTCCCCACACCATCGCCAATGTAAGAGCGACAGCAACGATGTGAACCGGACGAAGGTGACAGGCAGGAACAATGGTTGCGAGGTGAGCCGGGCAGAAATGGTTGGCCACGTCAATTGCACCACTTGGCCAAGTGATCATTTCCAGCAACGTATCATCGGTCGCAGACACTTGGGTGAGCATAGGCGTCGACATGGAAGTAGTAAGCACCGACGACGCTGCTACGTATGGAGTGGCGAGCGCCTGAGGGTATAGCTGGATAGGGACAGCGATGGTGGTAGGGGTCCAGAGAATGATGTCCTTGGGAGCCACTGTAGTTTGCGACGGAATCAAAGGGGGCCGAGTCGCGTGAGCCGGAAGTGTGGGATGGTAGGACCTAGTTGAATGAAGTGAGTAGTTCTGGCGCGTGCAGACATTCACTGCGCTTACCGGAATGAAAGTGCAACCTCTTCAGCTATGTAGACCAAGTGCGGGGAAGCTGCATCGATGAAACGTCCGACGATTTCAGGTACGTATAGATTGTTCTGCATCTGCATCTGCACGATGAATGTGAAGATGACGATGCCGATTTGGCTGGCTATCTGAAGCCAGAGCATGGTGATTCAAAGTTTCAAGCTCCCTGTATAGCAAAGCAAAGCATTTGTATTAGCCATGCGCTCTGTCGTCCAACTGTACCGTCTCGTCAAGTGATTACGCCACAAAGACGTTGACCATGAACAGGTGGCATGTGGGGTCTCAACAGGCACAAAGGTATGCGAAACATAAGCATCGGACGCTTACCGAGAAATTATGTGGTAATACGGCACGCGCGTAAATGCTTCCCTTAGAAAGTGTTTTACAGTGTAGACAGTAAGTGGATGTTGAGAGCGAGAAGTGCACTGAAGACGGCGAAAGCAGGCGGCCTGACACCTAGGGTTCGCGGAGATCTAATCCTGATATCACAAAGTGCGGAGTCTCACTCCAGTATACAAGTGCTTCCTTAGTGCTAATTGTGTCTCTACGAACACGAGAGGCACCATTTGAACTCCGCGATTAGGACAAGGAACACAGCCTTCCGCGGGAAACATTTGCAGTGCACAGCCTGAGCAGACGTGACTGATAAATGCAGCGTATGTTACTGGAGCTCTTAGGAGGAGAATTCTCGCCGCATTTTTCAATCTTCTGTAGTTTTCGACGTGCCAAGGTGACGAAGAGTGAAGAGGCGTTAACTCCCAACAGGCGCCCGACGGATTTATTCCGGGACTAACTCGCATAATAACGGGTTGGACAAACCTGATATGTCTACAGGACCTTAATTATACATCTAACTGAAGAGCGCACTACCATAAATTCATATATCATGTATTATGGTCCATAATACATGATGTATGAACTAACTGACAAGTGGGCCACGTTCAAATTCCAGTTGGATCCGCGCTCGCAAAGACATGGACATAGCCACGGGCTTATATATGGCCCAAAATAAGCATCACAATATAAGAAGTATAATCTGCCCGTGTCGTACATAGCACTTTGAGCGGCAGTCATGTCCTGCAACGCATCACGTTTCGCAGGGCTACGTTACTCAGCGATTCATTTTATACCCCTCCGCTCGCAGGGCCATCAACTTCTGTTCGTATTGTAAGAGTGATTTGTCTACAATCTGGGCGAGCTTTGACTCTTTTTTGAAAATACCATAAGATCAGGGGAGATCCATTCGTGTTCACATGAATGTCGAACACGATTGCGGACTGCAAAGGTTCAGTAACACGACGGTACCATGCACCGAATTGAATTCACGGTGGGCCCACAATTGCCTCTCCGCCTGTTATATGTGAGTGCAAAGTGACATGCCACTTAATCTCCGGGTGCACCAAAATTGAGGGTGACATGGCCTCCATTTTTAGCCATGATTGTCACATATCGCGGGAGATCCTCGCGAAGCGAAGCCTTTGAAGCAACCACGCTGGTTTGCTTTGGTTAATCGAGTCCTCGATTTGCCAAATGTGCAACTTTCCGGCTAACGAAGCGAGTTGTCATGTTGCCTGCGGTATATACCAGACGGCATCTAATACGTGGATCACTATCGTCAAGATGAGGTCGTGAAGAACCGTGGCGAAGTCTGCGAGGATGCTGATGCGGACTATATGACACATCAATGATCGAGCGTCTGTCTGCATTAAGCAAGCACTTGCCATTTGCCATTCCTCACTACGCCACAATGCACATGGCTACACGGACGTATTTTCGACGCGCTCGCTTTGGAACAGAAACTGGTATTGAAGATAATGGCTGTGATTACATGTGATAATATGAGACAGCACGACGTGGTCGCATGTCCCGGGTCGGGCAATGCCTTCGTCCTGCTGGCCGATGCGGAGTTCAAATTGTGTCCTTGTATTTCTCGCAATGCTGACGATCCGGAAGACAGTGGAGTCACGAGGCGGAGCTTACCGCTTTGAGTGTCGTGGTAATCTATTAGATAAGATTCCCCTCTAGTGGCGATCTCTCGACCACCTTGCGCTCGACCATCTCGACCATACCATACCCTCGCCACAACATCCTCTGACGCACCTGCGAGTCGAGTAGCATAACATTTTATTTGTGAGTATAAATGTTCTGTTTCACATTACAGATGCCCTAGTCGTGGTTGAACACTGCATCTGTTCAACCGTGCCCAGGGACGTCCTGTGGCGCCACTCTTCGACACGAACAGCACGTCGCTGGATTATACCACAATCAACATGCAATTCGGATATGTATCTAATGTAACCTCTCGCAGTCCACCCCAAACAAATCACTGCTCGACAACAATGCTGTGGCTACAGATAGCCAGTCAAATGGGCATTACCCTCCTCGCCTTCGTCGCGCAAATGCAAGGATACAACACGCTCTACCCTACCCACACAATCGGACTACTCCTCAACGCGGTTGTACCGCACATACTTACCATTGCTGGGATCGCACATTCATTCGTGTAAGTGAGATTGATATGCATCGCCACAATCGCTTACTTTGTCCATACAGCGCCACTGCCTCCCATCGCTCGGCCTACCCAGCGCAGTATTCTAGTCCTGATCAGACGGCAACGATATCATCAAAGGATCTAATCCTTTGGACGCCCACCGTGATCCCGATGTCCGAGAGATGGCATTTGCCAAGCGCCGCAACACCACCTGTCCCTCAAGCATCAATTGTCACGGCGACACACAACTGTACATCGGCATCACAACTGGAATACCCCACCTTGGATTTCATTGTAGGGGAGTGGCGTACAGCACTCGAAGAGCCCGTCGATATGTCGCAGTCAATCAACTGTCTCGCGCGTGGCATCCTTGCGATTGCAATCGCAGGCAGCGCATATTTTGTTATAAAGGCATGCATACACTGGATCACGAGGAGGAGCCTATACGCTAGCCAGTGGCGTTCTATGGTGAGTGACTCCTACGTCAATCCACACCATGAACTCACCATGGCATTAGTCAGTTGTCAGTTCCACGTTCGCTTCTGATACAGATGCTGGCGCGTCCTCGCTGTTCAACGTAGAGCTCGCGTTGGACTACGAGGATGCATCGGCGGACTTCCTTTCAGCTATGTTTGACATCATCTCCGGCTCGGGTGTAGCCACTGACCCGGACTGGAAAATCTACAACGATGGTGAGCAGACATTCATACTGTATGTACCAAAGAGAATAACAACTGCGACAACGGCCTCGAATTATGAAGTGTATCCGACTGAAACTGCGCAAACGGCATCCGAGTCGGGAGCCCCTAACAACGTAGACATCACAAACGAGCTGAAGACGTCTCCTGTACCTACCGAAGGTACGACTGATGTCATGTCCACTTCCGAAATGAGTGTTCTGACGTCTCACCTATTCATAGAGCATTCTACAAGCTATACAGCCTTATACCCAGACGCAGCACCGGCACACTTCCATAGTGACGATGTTGTATATAACCCCGATACCCTGGCCGCGAACGACACGAAGAATGCGCAGGAGGCTGCTGACCTTACACAAGAAGGACCATCCATCGAAGCAGAAGAAACCTTTCCTGAAGTAAGTAGCGCGTCAGTCATTCTCAGCGCATCTACTCATTTGACAAGGCCCTTCAGGTAAATCACTCCGCAGAACCCGCCAATGAAGACGCGCCCGGATGTGCCGACATATCGACCCCTGCTGCTACCGATGAAACAGAGAAAAAGGAAGCCTGCTCACATCCGGCCGCAGGTACGGTTGATGACATATCCACATCCGAAATGAGCATTCTAACGCTCCATTACTAGAGGATTCTACGAGTCGTACGGCCTTACACCTAGACGCAGCACCGGCACAGTTCTATGGTGACGATGCTGCATATAACCCCGATACCCTGGCCGAACACGACGCGCAGAATGCACAGGAGACGGCAGAACTTACACTAGAAGGACCATGCATTGAGGCCGGAAAAACAGTAAGTAGCGCATCTCAGCGCATCTACTCATTTGACGAGGCCTTTCAGGTGAAAGACTTTCAGGAATCCGCCAATGACGACGTACATGGGCGCGCATACATCTCGACATTCATCGCTTCCGATGAGACAGACTCCCAGCAGAAGGATGTCTGCTCACGTCCATGTGTGGAACTTCTGCCGCATGGATGCGGTATCCCGATGGACCAGATAGAGCAGGCACAGGCCAAGAAGCCTGCATGTGATGATTCAAGACTGGTAGAAGAGAGCGCATGGCCGGATAAAGCGCACACCCAGGTAGAGGCGAGGCCCACGCTTTTGGAGGAGAAGCAGGTAAATCAGAAGAAGGACCTCTGTGATGAGGACGCACATCAATCGCTGAAGGAGAGGAAACCACAGGAGGATGGAGGTAAGGAGGAGCAGCTGACGGATGGTGCTCGAGAAGAGCAGGAGGAACACGAAAAGGAGGCCACAGAGGCGGTTCAAGAGCACGAGGTGAAGGTCGTACAGGAAGAGACGGATCGCGACGTTCGTGTTGAGAGAGAGCGGACTGTGCCGGATGACCAGATTGCGAAGGATGCGCGAGGCAAGAAGAGCGAGGCAGACGACGACATCGAGTGCCTTGACCAAAAGGAACACGGGACGCTTCCCCATAGGATCAGCGAGGACGTGGGAAGCCGAAGCCGGAGGAAGCCGCATCTCCTCTCATCCACGAAGAACAACTCGTCGTTCCTCCCGGAAAGATCGTCCAGTGACGACCACGCGCAATCCTCTACATTCCCTTCCGCACACGAACACACCTCGACAGCGACGTCCGGGCTGACCTGCGTCTCAATGTCCCATGAGAAGCCGCAGATCATATACCAAACCGATCCTAAGGCTTCCAGCATCAACTACACTCGCGCACCGAGTTCGTTCGAGCACTTCGTTTTCAGCGACCTTCCGGAAGGCCCTCTGGGGTACCAGACGCCTGTCCTACCAGAGGTCAGCTGCGACTACGAGAGGGTCTACATCCCGACCCCGAATCCGCCGAGATCGCTTCGAGCCACTCCGAGCAGTGCGCCTAGTCGAGTTGCACCCTCGGTCAATGTGCCGTCTCCCTCGCCGACATCCCCACCCTCGGGCGAGGCCAGCGGATCGGCCCAGGGCGAGAGTACTGAACGCAGAAGACCGAGAAACTATGGAGAACGCGCATTCCAAAGCGCCTTTGCTGCTGCATTGAGGCCTCGCAGGGAGCGGTAGGATAGTCACCGTCCCAAGCGCACCTCAGGCCATCATCCAGTCCTGCAGGACGCGCGTCCACCGATAGTCACCGAGTCTCGACAGGAGCCTACGTTCTCATGTTTGCGCGCTTAGAGCAGCCGGCCACTAGGGGAAACACGGCCGTACT